GATAGATCTATCCAACACCTGGAAGACACCATCAGAAGGCCTAATCTAAGGATAATGGGTGTAGAGGAGCACCTAGAAACAGAAGTTAATGGTCTAGGAAATTTGTTTAACAGGATCCTAGCAGAGAACTTCCCAAACATGCAAAAAGATAGGCCTGTCCAGATACAAGAAGCCTTTAGAACCCCAAATAGACCAGACCAGAATAGGACATCCCACCGCCACATTATAATCCACACAGGATCAACTCAGAACAAGGAAAAGATCCTTAAAGCTGTCAGAGAGAAAAGGGTAATCACTTATAAAGGGAAACCAATTAGAATCACCTCAGATTTCTCAGCAGAGACAATCAAAGCAAGAAGAGCCTGGAATGATGCATGCCATGCCCTAAAAACAAACAACTATCAACCAAGAATACTGTACCCAGCTAAACTCTCCTTCATAACTGAAGGCCAAATAAAAACCTTCCATAGCAAAGAAAAATTGAAACAATACATCTCCACCAAACCAGCCCTACAAAAGATTCTTAAAGATGTCCTACACATAGAAAACCAACAAGACCACAATAAAGGCCAAGAAACTGCACCCAAACTGAGAATCCAAGAACCATAGGAAGAACCCAGTTTTCGCAGCCCCCAAGAAGGTAGATAACATGGCAGGAACTCCCAAATACCTCTCAGTCCTATCTCTTAATGTTAACGGACTGAACTCTCCAATTAAGCGACATAGACTGTCTAGTTGGATTAAAAAACAAGACCCTTCTATCTGCTGCCTGCAGGAGTCACATCTTGCCCGTAAAAACAAACACATTTTCAATGTTAAAGGCTGGAACAAAATCTACCAAGCAAACGGACCGCATAAACAGGCGGGAGTTGCAATCCTAATGACAGATAAAATAGACTTCAAATTAAAATTCGTGAAAAGAGATAAAGAAGGTCGCTACATACTAATTAAAGGATCTCTCCTTCAGGAGGATATTACAATTCTAAATATCTATTCGCCAAACAATGGAGCACCCAAATTTATCAAAGAAACACTACTTTCCCTCAAATCCCATATAGATCCAAAGACATTAATTGTTGGGGATTTTAACACACCACTCTCCCCACTAGATAGATCAACTCGGCAAAAACTCAACAGAGAAACCGCAGATCTAAACAGCTGCATAGATCAACTAGACTTAACAGACATTTACCGAACATTTCACCCAGCAGCATCAGAATACACGTTTTTCTCAGCAGCACATGGAACGTTTTCTAAAATAGACCACATTTTAGGCCACAAAGCAAACTTGTCTAACTAAATTCAGAAACATTGAAGTTATACCTTGCATTCTCTCTGACCACAAGGGAATAAAATTAGAACTCAACACCAAAAGCCACCAAAGAAAGTCCGGTATCACATGGAGGCTAAACAACACACTGCTGAATCATGAGTGGGTCATGGAAGAGATTAGAAAGGAAATTCAAATGTTCATGCTATTCAACAAAAATGAACACACAAAATACCAGCTCCTCTGGGACACAGCAAAGGCAGTACTCAGAGGCAAGTTTATAGCTCTGAGCTCCTACATCAACAAATTGGAGAGATCTGAAACTAACAATTTAATGACACATCTAAACCTCCTTGAAAAAGAGCAGCAAGATAAACCCCAATCCAGTAGACGGAAAGAAATAATCAAAATTAAATCAGAATTAAATGAATTAGAATCCAAAAAAACTATAGAAAGAATCAACAAAACAAAGAGTTGGTTCTTCGAAAAACTTAACAAAATTGACAGACCCTTAGCAAATCTTATCAGAAAAAGAAGAGAACACACCCAAATTAATAAACTCAGAGATGAGAATGGAAACATCACCACGGAAACAAGCAAGATTCAGAACATTATAAGGGAATACTTCTCAAAACTTTATGCTAATAAGTTTGAGAACTTGACAGAAATGGACCTCTTCCTAGCAAATATTGACATGCCAAAACTAAACCAAGATGAGGCAAACTATCTTAACAGGCCCATATCAAGCATTGAAATAGAAACAGCAATAAGAGACCTCCCAGCTAAGAAAAGTCCAGGACCAGATGGTTTCACAGCGGAATTTTACAAGGCCTTCAAAGCAGAGCTCACACCAATTCTCCTCCAACTCTTCAATGAAATTGGAAGAGAAAGCTCACTACCGAACACATTCTATGAAGCCATCATAACCCTCATCCCAAAACCAGGCAGGGACTCATCAAAGAAAGAGAACTATAGACCCATTTCTTTGATGAACATTGATGCAAAACTTCTCAACAAAATTTTGGCCAATCGACTTCAACAATTCATCCAAAAAATCATACACCACGATCAAACAGGATTCATTTCAGGGATGCAAAGCTGGTTCAATATACGCAAATCAATTAATATTATTCATCACATCAACAGGAGCAAGAATAAGAACCACATGGTTATCTCAATAGATGCAGAAAAAGCATTCGACAAGATCCAACATCCCCTTATGATGAAGGTTTTGGAAAAATTAGGAATCCATGGAACATTCCTCAATACAATAAAGGCTGTATATGACAAACCTAGAGCCAGCATTATACTCAATGGTGAAAAACTAAAGCCATTTCCTCTTAACTCAGGAACAAGACAAGGATGCTCACTCTCTCCACTTCTCTTCAATCTAGTATTAGAATGCCTAGCTACAGCAATAAGACAAGATGCAGACATAAAGGGGCTCCAAATAGGGAAAGAAGAAATAAAACTCTCCCTCTTTGCAGATGACATGATCTTGTATTTAAAGAATCCCATAGACTCCACTCCCAAATTACTCAAGCTGATTCAAAACTTTGGCAAAGTAGCAGGTTATAAAATTAACCCCCAAAAATCAATGGCTTTTCTGTATGCCAACAATGAGAAAAGTGTGGCTGAAATTAGGAAAGCAACTCCATTTGTAATAGCCCCACAAAAAATAAAATACCTAGGAATTAACTTAACTAAAGAAGTGAAGGACCTCTATGATGAAAACTTTAAAATCTTGAAAAAGGAAATCAACACAGAACTTAAAAAATGGCAAAACCTCCCATGCTCCTGGATTGGAAAGATTAACATCGTGAAAATGGCAATACTTCCCAAGGCTATCTACAAATTCAACGCAATACCTATCAAAATTCCACCCTCATTCTTCAAGGAAATAGAAGAGGCAATCCAAAAATTCATATGGAACAATAAAAGACCCCGAATAGCAAAAACGCTCCTCAACGGAAAGAACACGGCTGGAGGAATATCAATACCAAATTTCAAACTCTACTATAAAGCCATAGTAATCAAAACAGCTTGGTATTGGCATAAGAACAGACCTCAGGACCAATGGAATAGAATTGAAAACCCAGAAATGAACCTACAGACCTATAGCCATCTAATCTTCGATAAGGGAGCTAAAACAATAGAATGGAAGACAGACAGCCTCTTCAGTAAATGGTGCTGGCAAAACTGGTTAACTACATGTAGAAAACTAAAGCTAGATCCTTATATATCACCCTGAACCAGAATCAACTCCAAATGGATCAAAGACCTTGAACTCAAAGCAGACACTCTGAAAACATTACAGGATGGAATAGGAGAAACCCTAGGTCTCCTTGGCTCAGGCCGAAATTTTCTGAATAGAGACCCGGAAACACAACAAATCAAAGAAAGATTGGACAAATGGGATTGTATAAGGTTGCAGAGCTTCTGCAGGGCAAATGACATAGCTAGCAAGATCAATAGAAAGCCCACGGATGGGAGAAGATCTTTACTAGCCATACAACGGACAAGGGTCTCATATCTAAAATATACTTGGAACCCCAAAAATTAATCCACCCAACAACAAATCCTCAAAGAAACAACTGCCCAATAAGTAAGTGGGCGAAAGACTTAAAGAGAAGCTTCTCTGAAGAAGAAAGAAGGATGGCCAATAGACACATGAAGAAATGTTCAACATCCCTAGCCATAAAAGAAATGCAAATCAAAACAACATTGAGATATCACCTCACTCCAGTTAGAACAGCAAAAATCAAGAACTCTAACAACAACAGATGCTGGAGGGGATGTGGACAGAAAGGAACCTTACTTCATTGTTGGTGGGAATGTAAACTTGTTCAACCACTTTGGAAAGCAGTATGGAGGTTCCTCAAAAGACTTCACATAGAACTCCCCTATGACCCAGCAATCCCACTTTTGGGCATTTACCCTAATGTTTACAAAAAAGACCACACTAAAGCTACCAGCACAACTATGTTTATTGCAGCATTATTTACCATAGCTAAGATATGGAACCAACCCAGATGCCCCTCAATAGATGAATGGATCAAGAAAATGTGGTATATATACACAATGGAATTCTATGCCTCCATCAGAAAGAATGACATTGCCCCATTTGTTAGGAAATGGAAAGGCTTGGAAAAAATTATATTAAGTGAAGTAAGCCAGGCCCAAAGAAACATAGGTCCCATGGTTTCCCTTATTTGCAATATCTAGTATAGGTATGAGTCAAGCGGAAAAAGTCAGAGAATGTGATGTTAGGAAAACAAACCCTCAAATATGTATTTTAATGTTTTTGTTTCTTTCATGCATGTGTTTCTAACGCATTTATAAGATTATTTCTTGGTTGCTTTGTATGTCCCTCCCCCACAGTGTAACCCCTGCTTTCACTATATTTGATGTCAGTATAACATGTGGAGGAGATGGGGACAAACAAGTCGTTTAAGGATTCAGGTGGACCTGTTGCAACAATGAGAAGTACAAAATGTCATGTCAAAACCAGCTTTACAATGTCGGAGGGGGGGGGAGGGGGGGTATGATTGGGTGGGGGGGAGGGGGGAGGCTGGGAAGGGAGGTGAAGGGTAAACAAAGGAGGAGGCTGCAATGCTTGGTAAGAAATGTATGCATTATCCTGACCATGTAATTGTAACCCCTCTGTACAGTATGTTCTCAAATAAAATAAAATAAAATTTAAAAAAAAAAAAACAATTATAACACCTACTGGAAGCAACTTGTGGTTTTCTGGAAGTGAGTTGGCAAGATTCTCTAATCCTTCCAAATCTTCTAACATATAGTAACATTCCGCTAGGCGTTCCTGGTTCCGACCTTGCACATAATACTGGACAGCATTCAACCTGTGGGAAGAAAACAAGGAAAACTTCTAGGACTAACACAAACTTCCTACCAAAATGTTCACTAGAACTGTTGGTACAGGTGTTACTCCCTTGGTCATTCATCTCAGTTACACAGTACCTACAAAACATTTAAGCTGCAAAATACTTAAAGACCATGTAGCATTCTAAAATTCTTTATAGTGGTAACATCGTTACTTATCATCAGGAGATATTATACTCCAAAACACTGCCACATATAGATAAGCATACCGATCAAAATGGAAACTTAACAAATGCAATGATTCCTGAAAGCAAATATGAACTGGTTTTCACTTCGTTCATAAATAAGCCATATCATAACATCTTAGTATTAAATACTATGATCTCAGACAACAGAAAGCTACCTGGAGTTAAATGCTATCTGTAAATTCCAAAAATTAACAATGCTCATCTTGCAACTTCTTGTTCTCCACTTGAATTTAGAGCTAATTGAATTTTAGAACAGCTAACTGAATCTTTATTTCCCCAGCACTACTGCCAAGGCAAGTACTCAAGTAGCTACAATTCTAAGCATGCATGAATTCAGGAAGTGCTCTGGCGACTTTTACATACCACTTTTGTCGGTCAGCAAAGTAGTCTCCAATGGCGTTGTGGGCTTGTTCCAGGAGACTGTCATCTGCATCACCAGATCCAGTTTTCAGGAGTTGCAGTACTCTAAACCAATCCCCCAACTTCAGCCGGAGGCCAATAGCAAGATCTCTACAAACAACGAGATCTTCATTCATTCATTCATTCATCCAGCCTACAAGTGTTTATCAGTGTCTACAACAAACTCAGTATAGCTCTAGCTACAGAGAAGACAGACAAGGCAGCTCTCCAAATAGCCTGGCCAATGTACTGATCAAGTGACTAAGCTTATCCGTGAGTGATTAATGTCTTTATAAGGGGTATCAGAGAAAACTCATGCCTGCCCACAAAGTGAGGATACAAAATTCAAGGCCCATTCTGCAAGCAGAGTCAGGACTGTCATCAGACACTAAACCTGTGGCCCCTTGATCTTAGACAGCCAGCCTTCAGAACTGTGAGAAATAAGTCTGTTCAGGAACTTGGTTATAGTAATACAAGTAGACAATGACACCAGAGGGAAAAAAAAATCTGTTTCCAGTCTTATTTTCCTGGACTTCCAACTTATTTAACAGCTTAATTAATAATTTCTTTCATCAGATTCTTAGATAGAATCAGGTTTATTTTGAAACAGAACATATAGGATAAATATATTTGGTTTTTATATTTCTTTTCAGTGCTTAAGTATTATTAGAGATCTCCTGAAGAATAAAAAACAATAATAAAAATTAGAAATAATATTCACAGCTGAAATGAAGTACATAACTATATATGTATATACATGTTATATATATAATTAAATATAAGCAATAATATTCTATTTTAATGGCATTTGATTTTATACTGAGAGCAGAAAATTAAGTAACAGCCTAAATGAGAGAATTAAATCATGAATTGTATAATAAATAACAAAAGCTCCTATTCTCCATAGCTCTAACAATTTTTCCCAGAAAACAATCTCCACTGTCAGATATAAAACAAAGAAAAAGGCTACCTCCAATGATAAAACAATTTGGTGAGAGACATATAGAATATCTTTGATTGTAATCCAAACTGAAAATTATTTTCTAAAAAAGATGCTATGACTGAGTGTCAGTGGCTCACACCTGTAATCCTACCAACTCAGGAGCCTGAGATCTGAGGACTGTGGTTCAAAGGGAACCTGGGAAGGAAAGACCATGAGACTCTTAACTCCATTTTAACTACTAGAAATGGCACTATGGTTCAAAGTGGTAGAGCACTAGCCTTGGTCACTAGCTCAAGGATTGTACCTCAGCTCTGAGTTCAAGCTCCAGAACTGGTACACATTCACATTCACACATATTCACATTCACACATATTCACATTCACACACACACACACACACACACACACACACACACACACACACACATACACGATGCTATGATATACTTAGTCAGTTTTATATTGCAAAATACTATGAACTCTAGAGTACTTGTACATGCTTGCCCCTTCACAATTTACCTTCTGTCCATTTCAAGGTACATTCTCTCAGCCTCTTCAAACCTGCCAAAGTAGGTAACAACCTCAGCCTTCTTCATTGACTCGCTCTGCAGATTGCCCAAGCGCTTCACAAACTTAATGCCTTGGTAATCTCTGCAGCGCACAAATGCTTGCTCTGCGGTGTCCAAGTCCAGCTTCTGAAGAGCTGCTTCAGCCAACAGGCGCCTTTATTTTAAAAAGATAAGTAAAAAAGAGGGGAGGGGAGTCTTACTAGTAATTACTAGTAACCATACCTATTATTTTCAGGGAAGTGATTATCCTAGCACATGCAACTATCTTTCATTTAATATTGTACTGATATTGAAGACTTCCAATTCTAAAGTGAATTTCTATATTTTAAAAAGAACAGCTAGAAGCTGTGTGTTGTGGTACACACTCATAATCCCAGCTACTTGGGAGGCACAAGTAGGCTGGCCCCAGGCAAGAACATGATAATTTACCAAATAATAATTAAAGCAAAGGTGGCTGGGAGCATGGCTCAAATAGTAGAGCACCTGTCTAGCAAGCCTGAAGCCCTGAGCTCAAACCCCGGCATGATTAAAAAAGAAGAAGAAGAGCAAGACAGAAAGACCAAGACTGAAAACTAGTGTAGAGAGAGGATGACAGCAAGAACTCTACACATGACAGGTAGGGATTCAATACCAAAGTCGGGGGTGTGGATTGTTCTCTATGAACTGAGACGCATCTTCAATTCCAACCTTCTCAATTAATGCTCGACTGTCTCGCAGAGATCGAACCTCGAAGTTCATTATGTAATCCTTGTTTGGATGTTCTGGATTCTAAAAGCAAAGATAGAAAACAAATAATTCAAAAGGCTGCCTAGAGAGTATGTTTCTTCCTTGCAATTAAAAATAGAACAAGAAAGCAACAAAATCAGATGCTCTATACTGTGAGCAAAACTATGAAGGAAAGACATTCCTAACAGCCAAAACACATGAATAAGTAAGTCCCCACTGAGCCACCAGCCACCTTGAGGGAGACGTGGACAATGACAAGAGTGCTTCCTGGTTCTCTCAGCTCAGTTTCTTCCCTGGGAACATATTTCCTACCCAGTGTGCTACCTTCTGCCAAAGCAGAAACCCACAGACAGTCACCTCCACTCCCCCATCCCTTCATCTAAGGACAAATGCCAGATGAACAGACTTTTGTAAATGTCCACTCCCTTTCCTTTCTTTTTGTATTTCTTTAGTCCTCCAAAAATAGTATTGTGTTATTCTTAAAAGTACATGCATGAAGTGAGGTTGGAATACTTTGTAAACATTTGTGGAAACATAGTGAAATCCCACTCTTCTCACATAACTAATGTAAGTCCCAGCCCCAAAGAAAAACTATATGCTTAGAGGAATACACAGTCCCATGAGACATTTCCTGGCCAACAAGGTCAGAAAAGAAGCATGACTACATTCTTTGCTTGAGTCGGTTGTGTATATAGTAGGTAGATAACAAAATGGTGACAACAAGTTTGGGGTCTGTTTTAGCTTGTCTACCCTATCTGCACCCCCTCTCAACAAACTGAACACACTTGCTGTAGATAGGCTTTCTCCTAATCCTAGAATCATATAAAATGCATTTAAGCTATCAAGAATCTCAGGCAAGCCAGGCATTGGTGATCATGCCTGTAATCTTGGCTGCTCAGGAAGCTGAGATCTGAGGATTGTGGTTCAAAGCCAACCAGGGCAGGAAAGTTTCCATGAGACTCTTATCTCCAACTAACCACCAGAAAACTGGAAGTGTAGCTGTGTGTCAAAGTGGGAGAGGGCTAGTCCTGAGCGAAAGAGCTCAGGGGTAGCACCCAGACTCTGAATCCAAGCCCCATAACCAACCAAAAAGAAAAAAAAAATCTCACAGTTCATCTAATCAATTTAAATATATATTTTCTAAAATCCTTTAAAGTGCAATTATCATTACTGTAAGTACTATTATAGTTACTGTAACTTCTAACAGGATTTTAAAGGACACAGAAAAACCACAATCTAAAGAGAGTTCACAACAGCTTCTCTGAAAATACTGTATACAACTTAAACAGCCACTGAAACACACTCATTCCTTTTACAGGTTATAGAACTTACACATGGCCAGGTCCTTCTCTTCACCATTTGCAAAACGTTCTATCCACCAAAGAGGGAAACATTTAACCATGGTAACTGTATATTTGTAGGTGTGGGAGACTCAGACTTTGTTTTGGCTTTAAGCATCCTATCCCCCTCCCTGTTTCCACCTAATGTGGTCCTGCTGATAGGAGAACCCAGGTGCTCCCTCTTTGGGACCAGCCAGAGTTTCAATGACATCCACCCTACCCTTAAGAACTAAAGCACAGCTAAGAGAGCAGGGCTGGTCACAAGATCTGCTGACCTCTGGCTCCATTCCCCTAACCAGAACGCCACAGGCCTGGTCCAAACAAAAATCCTAATCAAGCCAGCAAGAGAAGAGAATTGTTTGCTTGTTTTTTAATTTACCTTCAATATCTCATCCAAAAGAACAGATTTGATTTCCAAATCCTCAAAGTTACAAATATATCCAGAAGTCTGAATGGGTTCCTTTAAAGACAAAGACAAGTGTTAGGTTTCATTATACAAAATGTCCCCTTCTTTAGAGTGTTCTTTTTTTCCAAATATTTTACTTACCTTTATTTTTATTTATTTTATTTATTTATTATGGTTATAGCAAAGGTGATGTGCAGAGGGATTACAGTTGCATATGTCAGATAAGTACATTTCTTTTTGAACAATGTCACCCCTTCCCTCCCTCACTCACAGTTTTTCCCTTCCATCCCCACCCAAAAGCTGTAGAGTAGTTCATTTTCAAAATAGTGTCTAGTGAGTACCACTGCTGCATTTGTTCACCCCTTGTCCCACCATTTCTATGCTTACCCTTACCTTCCCAAAGACAGATAAACAAAGACAAAAGGAAAAGAAAATAAAAATAGCAACAAAAAAATCTGTTTCCATTTCCTAATAATAATAAATATTAGTTTATATGATTAGATGCACGTAGCTATTGAGCCTTTGTGATTCTCTCCTAAGAATATCATCCTTTGGTCTCACTCTGTATGAATGCCTGAAGACCTGTATAATTTATCATGTCCTACTATTTTTTTTTCTTTTACTATCCAGTGGGTTACTTAGATTGATCAGCACAGTCTAGTTACCAAATGAGGGAATAGACATATGAATAAAAATTCAACATCCCTGGTCAAAAAAATGCAAATCAAAACAACATTGAGATTCCACCTTGCCCCAATTAAAATGGCCATTATCAAGAAAACTAACAATAAAAAATGCTGGTGAGGATGTGGCTACTGTTGGTTGGAAAGTAAACTTGTCCAACCACTGAACAGCAGTATAAAGGTTCCTCATAAGACTAAACATAATCCAGAAATTCCACTCCTGGGCATTTATCCAATAGACCACAAACAAGGCCACACTAAAGCTACCAGCACAGCCATGTTCATTGCAGCATTGTTTAGCATAGCCAAGATATGACATCAACCCAAATACTCCTCAGTGGATGAATAGATCAAGAAAATATAGTATAGTGTATATACAATAGAATTCTACTCTTCCATCAGAAAGAATGAAATTGTACCATTGGTAAAGAATGGAAAGACCTGAAAAAATTATATTAAGTGACGTAAGCCAGACCCAAACATATATTGATGTTTTCCCTCACTTGTAGTAATTAGAATGTGCCTTTAGAGTAGTCTTGACATATCTCCTACATAACATTTCATTTGCCAATATACAAGCACATGAGTCCATTATATTTCTTTACCTTATCTCAGCATTATATAAGCTTATAGAAAAAAGCATAGGATATGCATATTATAATGTAGAGTAGCTGCTCTAAATTCTTAATAATAAAAGAAGTGTAAATATTCTATGAGCTAAAATAAATAAAACTGCTAATAAACTTCACCTCTGGGGCTGGGAAGGTGGCTCAGTGGTAGGGTGCTTGCCTTGCATGCATGAGGCCCTGGGTTCAATTCCTCAGCACCATATAAGCAAAAAGAAAAAATCCGGAAGTGGCACTGTGGCTCAAGTGGTAGAGCACTAGCCTTGAGCTGAAGAGCTGAAGGACAGCGCCCAGGCCCAGAGTTCAGGCCCCATGACCGGACCCCCCCCCCCCGAAAAAAAAAAAGAAGTTGTAAAAGGTGATCTGTGGGTTAAAATGAAATACCAAAAACAAAGACAAAGGGAGAAAGGGAAAGGAAGAAAGATTAAAAACCATAGATTTTCAATGATCTATGTTTATTGGCCTATAAGTAAACATGAATAGATATTTATGTCATTCTTTTTTTAAACTCAACTTCTGCTTAAATTATATCAACTAATTTCCTTTATTTTCCAAAGTTCATTACTTATTTATCCATATCTCAATTGAATATGTAGTTTAAGACCCAAGGCCTACAAATCAAGGTACAATTTGCCTAAGTAGTATGCAAGTATTTCCTTTATCAAAAAAGTATCTATATTTTATTCCTCTACAACACAGTGAGAAACTGGTCCCCTCCCTCAGCACAGTCAGAAGGCAGAGCAAGTTTAACACAACAGACATCCTAAAATGCTCTAACTTGTCTATTCAGTATAGCACATTGTGACATGCTGTTTGTATACACCTAGACTAAGCATATACCTAGATTAGCTACCCTGCATAAATTGGACAAGTAGCTTTAAACGTTTATTTAAAATCTGAGGGGGTTGTTTTTTTTCACCATGTATTCCAGTATCATCTTTCCATACTTGGTGACTATGTATATAGATGGCATAAGGAATCCCACTGAGCACTTATACAATCGAGCCTAAGAGGGACAGGGCAAAAGAGCAACAGAAGGGAGTCAATCTGACCAATGTAAGGTACTATGGTACAATACCCTTGTACAATTAATATACACTAAAATGATGAAAACAATAAATAATGGGAGGGTAAAAGGTTCTGATGGGAATAAATATAGAAGAGATATTTTATATGAATGTGTGTAAATAGAAGAATGAAATCTGTTGAAACTTTTTTTTTAGGACTTTCTTCTTTAATTTTTTTTTTGTCAGTCATGGGGCTTGAACTCTGGGCCTAGTCGCTATCCCTGCATTCTTCAGCTCAAGGTGAGCACTCCATCATTTGAGCCACACTACCACTTCCAGTTTTTTAGTGGTTAATTGGAGAAAAGAGTCATACAGACTTTCCTGCTTGGGCTGGCTTTGAATCCAAAGCCTCAGATCTCAGCCTCCTGAGTAGCCAGAATTACAAGCATGAGTTACTGATGCCAGGCTCTTTTTAAATTTTTTATTACTATATTTTGCATATATGGTACTGAGGAATTGAACCCAGAGCCTCATGCATGCTAGGCAAGCACTCTACCACTAAGCCACATTCCCAGCCCTGAAATTGTTTTAAGAAAGGGGAAGGGAGAATGACAGAGGGGGGTACATGTGGTTGGTGTAATTATATGCATGCATAGAAATATCACAATGAAAGCCTTCTTGTGCAGCTGCTAATAGCTGCTAATTTTAAAAAACCTTTTTAAAAATTGGCTGATCTGAGCCACAGAAAGTTAAATTTAACCTGAAAAATGAATGAGTAAGGGACGTTCTGATACCCAGAAGAAAAAAAGACTATTCACAACCATATTTGTAAGAACACTTGGGGAGAGAAAGAATGTGGATTAGTGGTTGGTATGGTAACCCAAAGAAAACACAAAATAGACACACTGGCAGAAAAGAAGGAAAGAACAATTAGATATTTTTTTGTACAAAAACTTAGTAAATAAAACAATTTTGTTTATTTTTCTTTGTACTTTGATGAGGGGAAAAAAAACACTTAAAAAAAAAAAAACAAACAAACAAATAAATGAAGCTAGGCATAAGTGCCTCACACCTGTAATCACAGCTAAAATCTGAGGCTCATAGTCCAAACTCAGCCCGGACAGGAATTGTCCATAGATACTATCTTTAATTAACCACCAAAATGCCAGAAGTAGAGCTGTGGTTCAAGTGGTAGAGTACTAGGCTAGTCTTCAGCAAAAGAGCTCAGAAACACAGCCCATACCCTGAGTTCTAGCCTCAGAAACAGCATACACATGCACACACACGCACACACACACCATTTTTAAAAAACAGATGTCTAGGAAGTACCTTTCAGAGAAAATGGAAACTATTTAAAAATGGAGTATTATTTCCATCTCAAATACTTTGAAACTCTACAGAAATGTTTTATTTACATTCACAAACATGCATCTAACACACCTCTTAAAAGAGGTTTTGGGGCTGTGAAGTTGGCTCAATGGTAGAGTGCTTGCCTAGCATGCATGAGGCCCTGGATTCAATTCCTCAGCACCACATAAGCACAAAAAAGCTGGAAGTGGCACTGTGGCTCAAGTGGTAGGGCACTAGCCATGAGCTGAAGAGCTGAGGGACAGCACCCAGGCCCAGAGTTCAGCCCCCCCAAGCCCTCCCCCCAAAAAAGAGGTTTTGCTACTTGGCTCATTATTTCTAGACCATTAACATTCATTTCTTGATTTACCTCAGGATCCAAGTTTCTGAAAACATACATCCTTGTCTTCTCCATCATTGCAAACAAATCAGGATTATCCTTGGCCCACTTCATATCCCAGACGTCTTTCCGCTCCAATTTCAACAGCTCTCCAGTTACTTGCTGTCCTGTACTGTCAGTCACCCGAACATCCAGGTCGAAGAAAGTGAGAACTCCAGAGATGTCTATGATAGCAAGACGACTAGAAACAGTGTATTTGGAGGAAGAGAAAGATGTGCAAAATTATTCTCAGCAATCATGAGTGGAACCACCTACTAAAGCAATTTATCAGAAAACTGGAATATGGTAGAAATGGCTCTTGAACTTTTTAAATACATTTGATAGAAGGTATACATTATTCTCCATTTTGCTTCCCTATAAAGAAAACATAGAGAATTCATATGAAAATATGATCTGTTCTATATTCACTTACTCACCTAAGTAGTATATGCAAAATAAAATGTGTACCTAGATTGCCATATTCCAACAGAGAAAATCATTGAAACCAAATACAGTGTAGTAAAACCACACCCAACTTTAAGATACGTTCATAACAAACATACCTGTCTTCACTTTTACTATATAAATCCAACTCTTCCCCCTGAGGACAGTTCTCAGGCTTACCTAGAGTTGCAATTCAGGGACAATTGGTAGGCTCGACAATGTAGGCAATACTTTTGAATCAGAGCGACATTAGGAAGACTGTATCTCTGAACAGTTCCAGATTCACGACCCTAAGGAATTTATCTTTGATTACTAAGGTGTATTTACCATAACAAAATTAAACTACCACCTCAGGTCTCTCTATAGATCCATACTTTTTTTTTAATCAAAGTAATGTAGTCTTAATAAGTTCCCATTTCCAATACTGAATCAGTTTACTAAATATATGTTTATCTCCTAATTTAATTTCAACCTTTTTTTTCAAGTGGCTGAAAATGTTTTTCTCATAATATTCAAGAAAGACGCTTAAAGCCTAACTCCTTAGTAATATACAAGTTCTTATATAACAAGGAAGAAATATCTAAGGTTTTTTGAAATTGTATAGGTTATTATATGGAGTATGTTAGGAGCTAAGATATAGAGAACACTTATTGAAATTAAATTTCACATATATGAAAAATCACCAGAGGATCAAGCTATGAAACATCTGTTACTGAAAGTCTCAGTTTTATCTTATATAGCCCATTTTGTACTAGGCTTTAGCAATGGAAACAATGACCTAAAAGCAGGATATGTTGAGGGGTGTGTGTGTGTGTGTGTGTGTGTGTGTGTGTGTGTGTGTGTGTGTGTGTGTGTGTGTGTGTGTGTGTGTGTGTGTGTGTGTGTGTGTGTGTGTGTGTGTGTGTGTGTGTGTGTGTGTGTGTGTGTGTGTGTGTGTGTAAAATACATGTTTCTATGCAACTCTGGGCAACCACCAAAGCTGATGTGAGCAGGAAGTACAACAGACAGGAGAGAGCATAGCTTTCAAACTCTTCGGTGCCTTGAGCTACCACAATGGGAGCCACACAGCTGCCATATAGCCAATCTCTACCTCTTCCCTTTTTAACCAGAACAACACTGCTTCTGCAGCCCAGTTCTCAAGAACCACCAATCAGGGAGGGTGACTACTACCAAACACAATGCTCTTAAGAGCTTTTGCCCATGAAACTACTGGCAAAAAAAAAACTAGAACTGGAAATATATGCTATTGAGACTCTATTTATGCAATTCAAGTACAGCTCCATCAGCCCTGCCATATTAAACATTTATTTCTAAAATTAATATTTTCAAATGGCAGAGCTCAAGAAAAGACACTATACTATTGATTCTACTGGAAAAAATTAGCAGAAACTTGCCAGGGATTTCTCTATTTTAATGTCTGGCAAACATCATTACCTCTTCATTCTAAGTCTTATGAAAGTAGCCAAAGCACTCTTTCCATGTGTACTATCAGGCTACATACAGAGGAAACTTAGTCCTAACTCCCACTGCGCAATCTACCCACCCCATCAGCCCTTTGCAGGGCTCATTCCACCTTCTCTGCTTTTAGAAATAGCTATTAGTGGAAATGATTAATCATTTTTGAGGCAGGCTTTAAATTTTTCTCATCTCTTATATGAGGATATCCTTGAGGTACCCACAAAATGATAATTCAAATTCAAAACTCATTGCTTTATCCTAGTTTTACAATTTGAACAATTTTATTCATAAAGCAAATTTACTGAAACTTACCACAATCAATGTCTTATCAGATGCAGTTATGGCACAAATTGGATCTCTTGTACCCTAAAATCAATCAATCAATCAATAATTATTGTTTCAAAAATATTCATCAAATGACTATCTGGTACACAATAGCATTAGCTCACTAAGAAGAATGTATCAAAAAACATATTAACAGAAATTTATTTACAGAGCACATACTTTGTGTCAGACACTGAACTAAGCACTAGAGATATTCAGGTAAATCTTTACCTCAGAGGATTACTCACTGTCCACAGGGAAAGATGGTGAGCTGAACACATAATTAAAGACAGCATAATAAAAGAAATATCTTACACTAAAATTGGCAAAAATCTGAGCCTACAGATAAAAGATTGAATAAAAGCAGAAGGACCAGCACATGCCAGGAAAGGAAAAATGGACCAATACAGCAGCTCCTTGGACTTGTCTCAAGGGTATTTTGCTTAGTGAGAAAAGCCTATCTCAGCAGGATATGCATTATGTGATTCCACTCATAAAACAGTTTCAAATTGACAAAGCTATACAGATGGAAAACAAGGACAAAAACTTCCCAAATGGACAGAGTAAAAGACAAAATGAAGTAGTGAGAAGGGAATTCCTTATGGTGGTAACACAGACACTGAAAGTACATGTAAATGTTAGTGGGAACTGAATGAGGAACAAGTCCATAGTCCAGTTAACAGTACTGAATCAAGGTCAATTTCCTTGTTTTAATGTCATACTGTAACTCTAAAAGAGGTCACCATTGAGAAAAGTTGAGGAAAGAGGATATTTTGGCAATTTCTTATGAACTCTTAGTTGTTTCAAAGTGTTTTTTTTTTTTGAGAAAAAGAAATATCAGTATAGCACATTTATAAAAAATCCATTGTTTAGCATAGCTGTTATCTCTGTTTTCTAATTTATAAGGTAGAGGAGTCTCCAGGTTGTCTCACAAGGTTATGAGCATCAGATAGAAAACTAAGCAAAAAAAGCTTTAGTACCAGGCACCAGTGGCTCATGCCTATAATCATGGCTACTCTGAAGGCTGAGATCTGAGGACTGTGGCTTGAAGCCAGCCAAAACAGGAAAGTCCACAAGACTCTTTATTTCCAATTAACCACTGGAAGTGGTATTCAAGGGACAGTGCCCAGTTCAAGCCCTATAACCAACAACAACAAAAAGAGCTTTATTAACAATAATCTCAGAAAATCTTATCAAAAACAAAATTGCTTACTAAAATATTAAATTTTAGCATTTTTATTCATTTTTTTTGTCAGTTGTGGGCCTGAACTCTGGGCCTGGGCACTGTCCCTCTGCTCTTCAGCTCAAGGATAGCACTCTACCACTTGAGCCACAGAGCCACTTACAGCTTTTTCTCTTATGTGGTGCTAAGGAATCGAACCTAGGGCCTCATGCATGCAAGGCAGACACTCTACCACTGAGCCACCTTCCCAGCCCCTAGCATATTATTTTTAAAAAGTATATCTGTACCTAGATATAGTACCTAACAGGCCAGACATGACAGACCAACCATAGATGGGTGGACCAATAGACACACAGAGAGAGTCAGAGAGACAGATAGATGGACGAGAGACAGATAGATGAGAGAGGTGAGTAGCAGAAAAGGGGGATACATTACCCAATATTTTTAGAAATAAGCTTTCAATGTAGTATTCTACAGGTTACTTATCACCACATATCACCTTTATTTTAGTCTGTTTTTAAAACTTAGGGAAAGGTTTTCCGAACAGAAAAATATTTAAAGAATCAGTAAAGTTATATCCTATTTGATAAATAAGTTCTTTTTCAGATCTCAAAGTAAAAACATTATTTCCAAATTTGCAGATGTGAACAGGTATTAGCAAGACTAAAACTACCTACTTGAATGGCTTTTTTATAATCAAGCACCCCATCCAATGATCCAGAAGGAATATCATCAACATGATAAATTCTGTAAAAGCACAACAGAAAAACAGAATTTTAAAGAAAGGTTAAGGATTATATTATTTCATAATCTCTAGAGCAATTTAAAAAATGGGTGACATGAACAAATATTGTTACTTCATATAGAAATCTGATTCTTTTAAGGACTTCTGCGTCTCCTGATAGTGGAAACAATTTACTATGTGTTTACCAGTTATGTGACTCATCTGTTTCCGAAAGCTGCATCCCAAACATTGAGTCGTACATTCCCACTGAATTGATTAGGCTGTGGGACTTTACCTTACTCTACCAGTCAAGAGTAACCTCTAATACACTGATTTTCTCTGTTATTTATATATAATTTTACTTTTAATAATTTTCCTCTGTTTAATAAAAGTAGAACTTTAATCCATTTGTGAAGCCCTAATGAATAAGATTTCTGTGCTGATGTAAAAATCTCCCCTCCCTTCCAGGTCCCTAAGCTGCACTGCTGTGGGTCAGCACCCACATCACAACATGTGTTCACAGGCAACTGCAGCATCACCACTGGCTCACTGTCCACTTGCTCCCTTGTGGACAGTGGTGGATTTCCCGGAGACAAGACTGTCAATCTCCAATCCCTAAGACAGAGTCACAAACTGACAAGAGGTGCACAATGTCTGCTGAGGAATTATTAACATAAATGGAAATTTTTTTAATTGCTAAAATATCCTAGATGAGGCTCGAGTCTCAATTTTTTAATTGCAAAAATATCCTAGATGAGAAAATTACTAGACTTCTCTGAACCTGTTTTTCTCTATATAAAATAACGGTACCAATCTCTACTCTGCAGCATTTCTGAAAGGCAAAAATAAGGTGATATTGGGAAACTACAAAAGCACAGAGCCTGAAATAGACAAGGGGTTCAAGAGAACATAGCTGTAGAAGCATGCCATTTTCTAAATTTTGAAGTACTATGAATTTTTATAACTGCTCATTTGGAATTGTAATTAATTATACGCTCAAGGATGTAATAATATAAAAATTTGAATAAATTTAATAGAAGTGTATTAAAATGCAGAAAGATATGTCTAAATTGGTACTTACTTCTGCAATTTAAAATATTTCTATTAAGCATACCTAGTTTAACAACAGGAAAGTCAAAGATTAGAATAGGAGGTCCCTTAAGAGATCATGTGTTCTGGCTCCTTCTCCTTAAAGGTACAAAGAAGTCCTGTCTGAACCACAGGTCCAGAGTTAAAATAAACCTGCCTCTATATCCCATCAGAACCAAGGGGTCTAAAGTTAAATAAACCTGCCTTTCCTCCAAGAATTAATGCAAGAATCACCTCACCCTCCTAGAACGTGGCTTAATATTAAACCACAGCTCCATTCAGCTTTACTTAGACACTTGAAACCAATATACCTTAATTAACCTAGTATGTTAGAGTAAGTGAAGGTAGCCACTTCCAGCCCTTAAGGACTTCCCCTTGTTAACACTATGCTACCTCTCTTTTGTTTTGATAAAGTAGAATAGATCAACTTTAAAAAAATCAAATTAATGAAACATTATTTCTACCAATCAAGGCAATTGACATTTCTCATTAATGATAATTAACTATCTAGTTTAAATGTGACATGTCTGTGCATCAAAAAAGATACCTTTCTCTCCCTTCTTTTCGAGATCGTGTGATCTGATTAATTTCCAGTGCTGTGAGTTTCTTTGCCACACGGTATTGCCAGGTGTAAAATGCTTCTTTTGAAGCTGCTATCACATGGGTTTTGGTCATTGCAACAAATAACGGTACTATTAAATAGAAAACATTAAGACAATTAAGACAATTATGTCATTATACAGAATCACAGAATGTGCTACAGTGCACTATAAAAATCATGGAGTCTGTCTGACTCCTCATTTTACACAGACACTATACCCACAGTCTCTCAGAGTAGAAAAGAATCAAACGATTGTAAGATCATACAAAAATATTAACTCAAAATAGATCAAATGCCAAAATGCAGGAGTTAAAGCTATTGAACATTAAAAAATGTCTTAAATATGATGCCAAACATATAAGCAACAAAAAATAAGTAACAAACTGAGCTTCCTCAAAATTAAAAAAAAATTGCTTCAAATGATGTCATGAAGAAAATGAAAACACAATCCGTAAAATGGAAGAAAATATTTTCAAATCATCTATCTAATAAGGAATAAGATCTCAAATATATAATTACTTAGTTCATTTTTACATAGTATACACTGCTTATAATGAACTGTTAAAATTCAATAATAAATGACAAATAACCCAATTTTAAAAATAAGCAAAAGACATAAGTAGATAGTTCTCCAGTGGTGATGTACAAATAACCATAAAGCAGATAGAAAGATAGCAAAAATCAGCAGCCACCAGGAAGTGCAAATCAAAGCTACCATGAGCTAGAACAGCCAGAGTCAGACAGTGACAGTGTTGACAAGGATGTGAAGAATTGCTGAGAATGTCAAATGCACTTTGAAAAACAGTTTGGCAGTTCTTCAACATGTTAAATGTAGCATTATTATCTGCCCTAACCACACCTAAGTATAAATTCAAAAGAAATTAAACACACATCCATTCATGATGTGACTTCTGTACTATAATGGGGTCTTATTTGTAAGAAAAGCAAAGCAAAGGATGTTAGGACATCAAGAACATCTTTATAAAAGGGTTAACCTTTTAATGACAGTTATGTACATAAAATTAAGCCATTGCTATTATAAACACATGTCCAAACTCATACACAAATGTTAATAATATTATTATTCACAATACTCCAAAAATAGAAACAAAAGGCCTGACACTGGTGCCATGCTTATAATCCTAGCTACTCAGAAGACTGAGATCTGAGGATCATGGTTCAAAGTCAGGCAGGAAAGTTTTTAACACTCTCATTTCCAAATAATCTTACCAAAAACCAGAAGTAGAGCTGTGGCTCAAGTAGTAGATTGCTAGGCCTGAACAAAAAAGTTAGGGACAGGAACCAGGCCCTGAGCCCTTAGTTCAATCTCCTGGACTAGCACGTGCGCGCGTGCGCACACGCACACGCGCACACGCACACACACACACACAAAATAATAATTCATACTTCCATTAAGTGATGAATGAATGGATAAATGAAATCCAGCCCTTCTTCTCTTGATCCTATAAGGTGGCCTAGAAAATTCTCCTAACTTCACTCCTAATTTAGGAACATATTCTTCCAAAAAGATAGTTTTCTTATCTGTTCTATTTCTTAGAGATGCCTGTGTGCTGTCCCTGAGCTCTTCAGCTCAAGGCTAGCACTCTACCACTTGAGCCACAGTGCTACTTTCGGCTTTTTCTGCTTATGTGGTGTTGAGGAATTGAACCCAGGGCCTCATGCATGCGAAGCAAGCACTTTACCACTGAGCCACCTTCCCAGCCCCTATTTCTTAGAGAATATTTAATTGAGCTCCTACTGTATGGACTTTTATGAAGTACATGGAGTCTCATCAAATACAATTACACATTAAAAAACACAGGAGACTAAGGTTGGCAAAACACCTCATCCATAACCACAAAATACAAAATAAATGATATAAAATTATATATATATATATATATATTCACACAAATGCAATCCTTAGTATAAGATAATTTTAGTAACTTTTCTAAATTCATGAATAATTAAAAGTGTACTACATTTTTCTTTGTGTACTAGCCAAAGTAATAATCAATATACTCATAATAAAAGTATGATGTTAATAGAAGTAATGAATTATGGAGTTCAAGTCACAGTGTTTTAAATCGGACAATGAAAGCAGTAAGACTTAGAAACCAAACAAAGACTTGCCTAATAGTATGATGTTATTTGAGTATATTAACAATTTGGGAATTCAAATTCAAGAAATTGTATATTCTAAGCAACAGTATAATTGACTCGTTTAATTTTTTTTCATTACAATTATCAAGATTTTTCTATTTGAAATGTGTACTGTTACTGACCTCTAGAGGGAGCACAAAGCCTTTCCTAGAAAGAACAAAAGCCAGCTGCAGACAATGGTGGCTAAGCCTCCAGGGGGCGTTCCCGCCTGGCCCATTGTGTTTTTTCCCAGACCTGAAATACTACTAAGACATTTACTTACTAAACATTTGGTAAGTTTCATCATGAATACTCTGAAGCTGGCAACTATTATAGCCCTAGTGTGACTTGAAGTGTGTAAACATTTACTGCCTTCTGTCTGGAAAAATAATTGTTTTTCCTACACATAAAAAAAGCACTTTTCCAACTAAGGGTTTAACCACAGTTACACTCATGCTTTTTCTTTTGGATACATCCGAAATACTCCCCCAAAGGTTTACAGTTGGTTCGAGTGAGTCAAAATCAAAATTAAGTGGTGCAAAGAAAGAACCAGACTTCTCAAATTCAAATCACAGGCATTTGTTAACTGTGGCCCTGGATAAATTCTTTGTCCTGTCTGAACTGCAGTTTACCTGTTGTAAATGAAAGGTAATAATGATGCCAAGTTTATAGTGTTTTTTTCAGAATTCAAGGGGAAAAAATCAATATAAAACATAGCACGGTGTCTGGCAAAAATATATAATAATTACCAGGCAACCACTATATAAGGCAGACAATATTATCTACATTTACCAGATAAGAAAAAAAAGCAAGGCATGCATAACTATAACTTGCCTATGTCATATCCCTGGGAAGTGGCAGAGATGGATCCTGTGGCTCCAGGTATCAGTACCTTAACCACTGTGGCCAACTGGCCCTTTTAAGAGCTAGGAAATGGTGGCCAGGGTTGCCATTATTACTTTTATTATCTAAAATGTACAAATTCTCCAAACAAATACAAATATATCTAAAACATAACTTCTTTAGAATCAATACAGTAGCAATTTCAATAAGTTCACATGGGGTTTCTATAACATTTGAGAGATTTGTAAGGCATCTGTTACACCTAGATGAAGTGTCTTAGAAAAAGCTTAAATTTAAAGAGAATAATGTTTTAGGAGAACCTCATAACTGACTCAACTATTTAACATCTGGAAAGAAAAATTCTAAAGGTCTAGAAAGATTATTGGAAAAAAGAATGAGAAAATAATTATGCTTCCATTAATTGAACTTTGTAACGCTAATAGGGAACCATTACCAGCCAAGCTAGATTGTAAAATAGTTGGAAACAATTTAGGAATTCATAAATAAGGAAAAGCTGCTTGTAATATTTTAATGCTGAGTGAAAGGAATGTCTCTGTCTGTAATGTTTCCCTACTCTCCATTTAGTTACCTCTTAGCAGGTGAACTGAAGTTGTACTGAAGTGTTTCAGGAAGATTTTTTTTTTTTTTGGTCAGTTGTGGGGCTTGAACTCTGGGCCTGGGCTCTGTCTCTCAGCTCTTAAGCTCAAGGCTAGCACTCTACCACTTGAGCCATAGTGCCACTTCCTAGGAAGATATTGCTCTAGACTACATGGGGAAAGGTCAGGTCCCGGCGAAAGCCAGCGTTAGAACACTGACTGCTGTGCACCCACCGTTATGACAGCTGCGCGGATGACCTCTGTTCCCACCCACAAGGATGGCTGCGCCGTGACCCGGGCCCCCAACACAACTATGGTTGCTTGTGACCTGTACTTTCCAACCACTTTGTATGCCTCCATTCCCCTGAGAACAGTATCTCCTCTCCTTAAAACAGCACCTGGAGAAGCACTTAACTCACACACTCAGCCCAAATGCTGTCCTGGCTTCCTTACAAGCCAGCCTCCATTTCTCCAGCACCTACACAGCACCTGCATACTGCAGGGGGACAAGTCATGGCCTGATGCACAGACCACATCTCAACATCCTAGAAGAAATGTCATCATTTACTTCTGTGACTCCCAGGGGCCACTACAGTATGTGAACCAGAGCACACTTAGTGTTGACTTGCTAAACGCTATTTGTGCATTTATTATTTATTAACACATTTATTATGTGTTAAGCACATCATCAGGTATGAGGGATACAGAAATTAACCAGATGCAGATCTTTAAGAAGTTTAAAGGCTAATCAATACCCACAGTGCAGGGGAAGAAGTGCTCTGGAGAGAAGCACAGCAAAGAATGGAGGACTCCACAGAATAGCATCAACAGAGGCTACACAAACTCATACATGGAGTGATACAGAGCCCTATGAACCATGCTGCCATAGTATGTAAAGTTCTTTTAGAAAGACTCTACAGAGCTGGGTGCTCAAGTCTAATCCTAACTACTTGGGAGGCAGAGATGGAGGACGGCAGTTGGAGGCCAGCCTGGAAATAAAAGTTACCAAGGCTCCATCTCAACAAAAGGCTGGGAGCTGCGGTGCACACCGGTTATCCCTGCTCTAGGATAAGCACCAGCAACCATCTCCAGCAACACGGAGAAGCGCAAGGATCAAAGTTCAGGCTGGCCTAGACATAAAGTGAGACCATACCTCAAAAATCATCAAGGCAGGCTGTGAAGGTGACTCAGTGATAGAATGCTTGCCTAGCATGCATGAAGCCCTGGGTTTGGTTCCTCAGTACCACATATATGGAAAAAGCCAGAAGTGACTCAAGTGGTAAAGTGGTAGCCTTGACCAAAAGAAGCTAAGGGGCAGAGCCCAGGCCCTGAGTTCAAGTCCTAGGACTGGCCAAAAAAAATAAAAATAAAAAATCATCAAGGCATAAAGGGGCTGGAGGTGTGGTTCAAGTGGCAGAGCAACTTCCCTCCGAGCATAAGCCCTGAGTTGAGTCCCTAGTGCCCTTAAAAAAGATTCTAGCGAAACTATCAAGATAAGAAATAATATAAGAAAAACAACACCTTCACTGTTGTTTTTCTCTCCATCCTTGTGAAAACTGTTCATAGAAACATTAGGTAGAATTTTACAGAATATGTGTGAAAAAAAAAAGTTAAGTCTGTTGCTGTGTTTGCTGCAGAGCAATGAAAGAACTGTTTGTTAAAATTTCCGCCAGTAAGACTGCTTAAAAAAAAGTTTTAAGACTCATAAATACAAATCAGGCAGCCAAGTATTTGCCATTTTATGAAAGGGAGAGATTTCAATTTTATTTTTTTTTAAATAGTCTACCTGAGCCAGGTGTGGTGACTGATGCCTATAACTCAGTAACTACTCAGGAAGCTGAGACCGGATGAATGTGATTCGAGGACAGACCAGGCAAAACATTTGTGAAACTCCCGTCTGGTGGTTAACCCCTACCTGGGTGCAGTGGCACACACCTATTATCCTACTACCCAGGAAGTACAGATAGGAGAATCCTGGTCCAGGCCAACCAAGTAAGCAACAAAGTCCTATTCAAAAGTAAAAAATGCAAAAAGGGACAGGCGTGTGGCTTAAATGGTAGGCAAACTACGTGGCAAGCACAAATTTCTGATTTCACCTCTTATACTGCCCCAAAAAGTATTGATAAAAATAACTCGGATCCTCACCCTATCACCATGAGATTCAACGTTAAAATTTGTTATATTAAAAAAAAAGGAATATGGGGCTGGGAAGGTGGCTCAGTGGTAGAGCGCTTGCCTTGCATGCATGAGGCCCTGGGTTCGATTCCTCAGCACCACATAAGCAAAAAGAAAAAAGCCGGAAGTGGTGCTGTGGCTCAAGTGGTAGAGCACTAGCCTTGAGCTGAAGAGCTGAGGGACAGCGCCCAGGCCCAGAGTTCAGGCCCCACGACAGGACCCAAAAAAAAAAAAAAAAAAGGAATATAATCTGAAGATTTACAGAATTAACCCTAGAATTTTACCTGTTATGAATTTAATAAAATATTCAGATGACAAGTCTGTAATAATTATAAGCTAAGCCTTTAACAAGGCATCATAACATAGATGATATTTATATATCTTATATATAAATACATAACAATGAATATAAGGCAGGAAGTTGAAGTGTTTCAGTCTATCCAAGTGAGTAGATAGACCCTAAACATGGAGTATAAAGTGTTGGAGGTCAAAAATACTTGCTGCTATCACTCCAAGAGCTAAACAAAATGCATATATTTAGAAGACAACGTTAACATTTGACTGTTAAGACTGAATGTCTCATCAAAAAAAAAAACTAGTTAGTGTTTCATTTTTTTATACTGAATAATTTGGGTCATATCATTTCCAAAATGCTACCATATACTTTAAAACTACTACTACTTTTGAAAGATAATAAAATGGCAATAAAATATTCCTAAATGATTTTAGCAACTTTCTTTGAATAAGATTTGGAATTTTTTAATTGGTTACTTTCATAGCTATTGGATAGAGGAAAGGGTAAAACTAAAATTATAAATATATTCTGAAAACAAAAATGGGTATTTTTTAAAGCTGTCCCTATTAATAGATTCATTTCATTAGAAAATTCTGGAAAAGTCAAACACATTTTACAAGCAGCTGAAGTGTTTTTATAGAAGAAAGGTATTTACAAGCAGTTTATTAATAATAAAAATGGTTTGAGAGCAAAATTCTTTCTATAATCCTTAGTTTATTACACACTAATCATTATGCTGCATACCAATTCCTTTACAATTATACTTGCCATGTAAAGCAAATGAAGACAATATGGTAGGTATGAAATTATTATGGGTTTTAGCTAGAGTAACCTTGTAATTTATTGTATTAAAATCAGGATGCTTCTGAGATTAAAAAGGGGTATTAACAATATTGTCATAAGCCAGCATGGTGACACATACCAATAATCCCAACACTAAAAGGGATAAGGCAGGAGCATCATTAGTTTCAGGTCAGTAGGCTCTAGGTCAGCCTAAACTACATAGCAAACATACAAATCTCAGTCTGAAAATATTTTTAAAAACCTACCATGAGAACAAGAATCAACTACAAGTATGGCCATTATTATTTTAAAGAATACTTTTCTAACTAATACTACTGTTGTGTTTTTTTTAATAGTGTTATCCATAAAACCTGAAAAGGAAATAAATATTAACATTTCCTTACCAATATCAATGTATTTGGGATCCAAGGGTGTGCCAATAGAATTACAAAGAACTAGCACAAACTGTGAACAAATAAAACAAAAAGAAAATCAGAGCTGTTGCATATGAATAACAAAGGAAATATGTTACATATATATCATGCTTATCTTTTTCAAATCACTAGCTGGGAAATAATTAATAAAATTTCTAGATACAAAGAATGATAGATTTTAAAAAAGCAAGGTAATCACAGCACTAACTATAAAGAACATGAATTCAAAGCCAAGACAACATTCTCAATCTAGATCCTAGGAATCACAGTACAGTTCACTCTCCACCACACTTCGGAAATGCCTGGTCAGACACAGCCCAGCTCCTTTTATGCTCTAACCAGCTAAGTAAGAGCTAACAGAATTGGTTACCGTTGCACCAAATGTCTCCATCTCATTCTCCTCCTTTGAAGCAATACATAAATGACATGAGAAAATTCAGAAAAGTTCAGTTAATTCAGTAAAGACATTATCCCACCTGGTTAAAAAAAAAAAAAACCTATCCACAAATAATTATCAATGACAAATGTTAGGAAAACATTCAAGCACAATGCACTTTGGCTCATGTTATTCATGCATGACCATTTCTTTTTTTTTTTCACTGAATCACTTTTACTGTATCTTGTACTTATAATACTATTTTACTTAGACGTTTTCCCCAAATTATCCCAAACAAATCAATTCTCTATCTGCAACTGTCAGAGATTTTTTTTCACCATCTCAATGAAAACTTGTTTAACTCATTTCATAAAATATGATACAAAATGTACTAAAATACCATAACTTATACTTCTATTACTTAAAATAAGCTACTTATTACCACAAAACACCAGAAGTAAATTGTTTAATTTACTTTTTATTTTTATCAGTGACGATGTTGATAATTTTAAGAATCAAAAATTTCCACAAGCTTCTTACTAAAACTGGCAATCCCAACCTCCTGTTTCCTGCTCTCTTTATTAATTCTTCCTTTTGCCATTGACCTCCACAAATCTAAGTAACATGCTATAGTGCAACCTCCTATTTTGCTGCTTTAATCCGTTGCCTTCCTATGAAAGATAAGTTCTTGTCTTTTCCCATGTCCTTTCCCATCCATACACTTTCCAGTTAGAGGGTACTGAGGATGAACTTGGGATCTCTACCACATGAGCCATGCCCCAGGCAACTTTACACTATTTTAGATTCAACTTTTAATATCAACTACTCTATTTTATAGATGATACAATATTTAAAGGTATTACTATAACTTAGGACTTAACACTGAATTATAAGTTATAAAATATTTTAGTCATCATTTAGTCCAAATTACAAGCCATAGTAGAAATACATTCAACAGCTTCCCCTGACATGCAATTTTCACAACTGTTTCTTCATAGTTCTTCTTTTTTATTTTAAATATATATTTTTATTGTAAAGATACTGTACAGAGGGGTTACAGTTACATGAGCAAGGTAACGAGTCCATTTTCTATTGAGCATTGTAACACCCTCCTTTATTCTTCCCCTACCATCCCTTTCCTCCCCACACCTCCCCACCTCCTCTTCCCTCTCTCCCCCCCCTTTCCCCTTCCCCCCCCAAAGTTGTAAAGCTTGTTTTCAGCATACTGTCTTGTACATCTCATTGTTACAATGGGTCACCCTGTATCCTTATTTCAGCGTTTTGTTATTTCCCTTCCCCTCCCCAAATTAGAAAAATGTATATACAAGATGCAGGACACAGGAATCAAATACAGTGAAAACAGGGGTTATACCATGAGAGAAAAACGCACAAAGAAACAAAAAAAAATCACATAGTACATTATAAGTACATTAAAAAGAACAAGAAAGGTAAAATCTCTTGTGTCCCCATCTTGGGGTTCATTTCACTTAGCATCAGGTTATATGGTCAAATGTACCTCTTCTGCTTGTCCTAGGCATATACTAGTTATTGCAATTAAGGAAAACCATGGAACCCATGTTTCTTTGGGTATGGCTTACTTCACTTAATATAATTTTTTCCAAGTCTTTCCATTTCCTAACAAATGGGGTGGTGTCATTCTTTCTAATGGAGGCATAGAATTCATATATATATATATATATATATATATATATATATATATATATATATATATATATATATATATCTTGATCCATTCATCTACTGAGGGGCATCTGGGTTGGTTCCATATCTTACCTATGGTGAAAAATGTTGTGATAAACATAGTTGTGCTGGTAGCTTTAGTATGGCCTTGTTTGTGATTGGGTAAATGCCCAAAAGTGGGATTGCTGGGTCACAGGGGAGCTCTATGTGGAGTCTTCTGAGGAAACTCCATACTGTTTTCCAGAGTGGTTGACCAGTTTACACTCCCACCAACAATGCAGTAAGGGTTCCCTTTCAACTTTCCACTTTTAACATAACCTCACATCCAAATTTAGGTTCAGGGTTTAAAGGCATGGCTTGGTAGTAGAACACCAGCCAATGAGAAAGCATGAGATACCAACTTCAAGTCCTGGCTGGTCTCAGAACAAAAAAAAAAAAACACCAAGAATTTAGGTTTAAATATTTTGTTACACTTCTTCAATTGGTTTAAAGACTCCCAGTGGTCACATAATTTTGACTATGTAAAGGCTGCTCACAGCAGAGGAAAAATAGCATGATTGTTTTCCTTGCAAGCATGTGTTGCCATTGAAAATTGTGTTCATTTCCTCTTTTTTTGTTTTCTATGTATCTATAACTGACTGGAACCCCCACCCCTGTTACCCCAGGTTGAGCATAATTCTTCTCAAGAGTTCTAACATATGAGGTGCACTAGTGACTTCATCCTTTTTTAATTTGGGGGAGGAGGTTGTTTGTTGTTGGTGGTGGTGGTTTTGTTTTTTGTTTGGGGGTGTTTTTTGTTGTTTTTTTGCTTTTGGAGGTTTTGGTTGTTTGAGATAGGCTCTTCCTACATATTCCAAGCTGGCCAGCCTCAGCCTCCCAAGTGCTAGGATTACAGATGTGCCACCACCCCTGCCTTTGCCTCAGTCTCCTCAGCAGCTTTCTCCTGGGCTCCTGCTCCCTGGGCGCACTGCACAGCATTCATCTGGGACCACGCTTTACCCTAGGAAGCTTTGTTTCCTGAGTTATTCATTTCAATGGACTTTATCCTGAAGTAACTCTCCAAAATAGAGAAGTTGCTGGGTAAATTTTTGGTGAATTGAACATCTGAAAAAGACTATGTTCCATTCACACATTTAATCAGTAGTTTGTTATGATGTGAAATTCTAGATGAGAAATTTGGTCAATGACAGGAAATAATTTCCCTCAGAATTTTAAGGCAATTAATTCTCCAAAGTATTGCTGTTGACATGTTGAATATCATGGCTCTTCATCTTGTGAAATGTTTTTCCTCTCTGCAATCTTGTTGGATGTTTTGAATCTCCATTATTCAGAAATTTCAAATAATATGCCTTCATATGGAAATGTATTTCTTCACTGAATTAGGTACTTCCAATATAGATCCTCAAGGGAACTTTGCTTATGTATTTTCTTCAGATTTACTTATTTTGCTATCCAGTCAGTACTTCACTGAAATGCTTGGTTTCCAGGACTAGTTCTCTCATTTCCTTGTCTTTCATTTTCTCCCATTTCCAAAACTTTCCTTTTCTGCCCTTTTTTTATTTTACAGATGAAAACCACTTAACTCTTCAGGATAACAATAGCCATTCTTCAGATGATTGTACTTGGGAGTATTCCTTTTTCTGTACAGTCTGCTTCCTCAAAGTTCTTTTCTACTTGTGTTTGATTTTTCTCTCTGTTAAATTAGATACCTGCCTCAAATATCTGGACCTACTTCCTGATCAGTCAGTCTATCCTCTGAACCAAGATGTGGGATGCTAAAAGCCACAGCCTTCACTATGAAAGGACTGGACACAATTGTTTTCCAGGGGATTCTTTGTATTTTTTGATGGTTTTTGTTGTTTTTTTGTGTTTTGTTTTTGTTTTTGTTTTTTGTCCTGGCTGGGGCTTGAACTCAGAGCATGGGCACTGTCCCTGAGCTTCTTTTGCTCAAGGCTAGTACTCTGAGCCACAGCACCACTTCTGGCTTTTTCTATGTACATGGTACTGGAGAATGAAACCCAGAGCTTCATGCATGCTAGGCAAGCACTCTATCACTGAGCCACATTCCTAGCCCTAGATGTATTTTCTCCTGAATGGGTCAGATTCTCCAGGAAAGAAGTCCCCAAATTACTATCTCAAACCTTGGCGTTTGGCTGCCAGTGCTCAAGAACCAGGTGGGAAAGGCAGGCTGGGGAGAATACTGAGCAGTGAGCTTCACACCTGTCAGGTTTTCAGCCAAGATCATCCGCTTCCACTACACACTCAGTGAGCAGCAACTGCCTCTGATCCTCCCAGAAGGCTCAACCCCTCCCCACCCCCCCCACCCCCCTCCGTTGTAATAGGTGCGAAGAGCTGCTGCCTAGGTCCTATGAGCTCTGTCAGGAAAGGAGACCCAGGAATCTACTTTTCTCTTCTCTTCTCCTTTCCTTTCCCTCCCCTCTACTCCTCCCTCTTCTTTCCCTACTTCCCTTCTCCCTCTCTCTCCCTCTCCCTCTCTCTCCCCCTCCCTTTCTCTTCCCCTCTCTCTCTCTCTCTTATGTGTGCACCCTCATGCAATGCACACATTCTTTCTCTCCATTTCTTTGCCTCACTCCTTTCTCAGGTTTTTTCTTTCCTGTGTCATCTCTGGCCCTTCCACGTTGCTTGTGTGTATGCTGCTTTCTCCCACCAGCCCCTCCCCACAAGCCCTGTCCACCCCTTCAGTATTCCACAGCACCTGCCTCTTTGCTGGTTCCATAAAAGGCTATGGTTCCATTTCCTTAGGTCTGCTAAAGTAATTACCACTAATCCAGCTACTCTAACCTCAAATTTTTGTGGCCATTTTCTCTCCCTTTCTGGTCTCTTTGGGCTTTGAAAATTCTTTAAAAAATGAGTTTACTATTGTCTCAGTGACTTTAGGGGAATAACAAAACCAAATATAGCTATTCAAGTCACCTTTAATCAAAAACTGACTACTTTTTAAATTATATCCCAGACAAAGACGATGGTAACCTATTTTGAAATATTCACATACTCTTAACAAATATTTAAGTTGTTAGTATACTTTAAAATATATAATTTATGGCGCTGAGAAGGTGGCTCAGTGGTAGAGCGCTTGCCTTGCATGCCTGAGGCCCTGGGTTCAATTCCTCAGTACCACATAAGCAAAAAGAAAAAAGCCGGAAGTGGCGCTTGTGGCTCAAGTGGTAGAGCGCTAGCCTTGAGCTGAAGAGCTGAGGGACAGCGCCCAGGCCCAGAGTTCAGGCCCCACAACCGGACCCAAAAAAATAAATAAATAAAATATATAATTTGTATTATTTCTTTTTGGTTTTTAGAGCAATTTAAGTCTGAATAAAAGTATTCCTCAGCTGGAAGCTGGTGGCTCACAATTGTAATCCTAGCTACTCAGGAGACTGAGATCTGAGGATTGCAGTTCAAAGCCAGTCCAGGCAGGAAAGTCTGTGAACTCTTATCTCCAGTTAACCACCAGAAAACCAGAAGAGGTGCTGTGGCTCAAGTGGTATAGTACTTGTCTTGAGCTGAAGAGCTCAGGGACAATGCCCAGGCCCAGAGTTCAAGGCCCACAACAACAACAAAAAAGTATTCCTCAGTGTCAGAAGCTACACAACTTTATAAATACTGTTAAACAATATCTATATTTCTACTAAACATATGGATATTCTTTTTTGTCTGTGGAATTTTGACTTAGAAAACTATTATGATATTTTAAGTCGATTTCAGAGATAAAAGCTTCAGCATTGAACCAATCAACATGACAGCCAGTGACTAATAGAAGAAAAAAATTAGAATCTCATAATTAGCCAAAACAGTTTAGACAGACATGGCCAATGAACTCAATGCTTGAGGGCCATGCTTGAGAAGGGAGGTAACAGTAACACAATTCTACCCATCATCAGCCCATCTGTGTTTGAAGAACCATGAGGGCCTACCTGAGGATGATTTTCATCAGCTTTAGTAGCCAAAATGCAGAAATCGCCACAAGTGGTAATAGAAATGAGACTCTTCACATATTTAATATACTTCTCATTGTTTTTTGTATCCCAAAAGACCACACAGTACTCAGGACGATCAGGTCTGGTATATGCATAAACCACAGTATTTAAGCAATAGCCCCACTGGAAGAAAGGAAGGGGAAGGGAAAGAATGGAGAGAGGGAAAGGAAGACACTTAGCTTGAGAAAGAACTTCTCTCTCATTTGCTTATTTAAATAATTTGATATACCATCATTTTATGTTTACACTAGAAATACTGCAGGAAGGTGGTTTATCAGTGCTAACAAAATACATCCCTACAGAAATGAAGATAGGAACGAATCACCAGCTTAACACCTTTTCTCACTAACAAAAATTCTCCAAGTCACAACAAAGACATTTAAAACCAAAAATATGCTACAAAAACAAGTTTGTTTATCAAACTTTCCTTATAACTCTAAATTGATATGGTTCAAGCTTCACTAGTGAACTTTTTCAAAAGTTTGTTAAATAATAAATTATTCATTAATAAGAGTGGCTGTGGTTGGGGGAGGGGACATCAGGTAGTCATCAGATACATCACAGGTTTAAGTCTTGAGTCCCCAACAGGCATATTTATAAAAACTTGTTTCTATAGTCAAATTCTTGCTTATCTAAAACGAATTCTTCTTGTTTATCAAAAAAAAGTAAACTCCCACACACAAAAAATACCCATGTACAAACCTTTTCCAGTCATTATGAGACTTTTACTTGTACAATTTACCCTTCTGTCTAACTCTCCCAGCATGTTTTAAGGTAATTTTGGATAAATCAACAATCTTTGTCAACATTATGACATTTATCTATTTATTCTGTAGCTAATTTCTAAAATGAACCACTAACTTTAAAACATTTTTAGATTTATAGGATAGCTATAAAGTTAGTATAGAGTCCCCATGCAGTTCCCATCCTATCGTTTACTTCTTATAATACCACAGCCCATTTGTCACAACTAAGAAACCAACATTCTTCTAACTAGGCACCATTTCTATGACAATTAACAAAACTGCATACTTGTTTTGGATTTCATCAGCTTCTCCCAAATGTCCTTTCTATCCCGTAGAGACATTACAGTAGTTGTTACCAGGCTCCTTTGGGCTGTGACAGTTTCTCTATTTTTCTATTTTCAATGACCTCAGCAGTGTAGAGGAATACTGTTTCCATATTTTGTACAGATGGGCCCTCAGTATGCTTTTCTTTTTTTTTTTTTTGTCGGTCATGGGGCTTGAGCTGTAGGCCTGGGCGCTGTCCCTGAGCTCTTCAGCTCAAGGTGAGCACTCTATCACCTGAGCACCGTGCCAGCACCGTGCCACTTCCAGCCTTTTCTGTTTATGTAGTACTGAGGAATCAAACCCAAGGCCTCATGCATGCGAAGCAAGCACTCTACCTCTGAGCCACCTTCCCAACCCCTATTATGATGTTTTTCTTATGCTTAGACTGGGAATATTGACTTTTAGGAAGACCACTTAAAAAGTAAAATGCTCTTCTCATCAAAATACATTCATCATTGGTGACCATTTTGATTCCTTGGTCAAAGTGGGGTTTGCCAGGTTTCCCTACTGAAAATCTCCCTTGTTTTTCCTCTAAGCTAGGGGATGGGAGACTAATACCCACCTCTAGAGGAGGCAGTTCAGAAATAAGTTGGAGTACTTTGAAATTAAAAAAATCTGTCAATTCTCTCTTAATTGCTTACGTCAATAATTTGCTATATCCGTATCAACTAATGGACATTTATCTTATCTTACAATAAAACATCACAGCATTTACTTTCTCGGGTTGTGCCAGCCTTGGCCATGGTGAGCTCCTCTAAATTGCCTGCCATACCCATGACAAGCTGGCACTTCCTCACTGTAAGATACTCCTGCTTTGTATGGTCCCTGCCCTAACCTTGAGTCAGCCATTTTTCCAAGGTGCTATTCCCTTTAAAAATAAAACACATGAGAGCCAGGTATCAGTGGCTCACATGTGTAATCCTAGCTACTCAGGAGGCTGAGGAAAGTCCGTGAGACTCTTATCTCCGATAAACCACCAGAAAACTGGAAGTGGCACTGTGGCTCAAGTGGTAAAGCACTAAACTTGAGCTGAAGAGCTGAGGGACAGTGCCTAGGCCCAAAGTTCAAGCGCCACAACCAACAAAAAATAAAAAATAAAAACACATGAAACAGTCTATCAAATCAATATCATATCAATTTCATTTCAGAGTTTCCCTTGGCTCAAATTTTAAGTTTAAGGTAAAATACTGCCATGTTTTTTATTGCTTCTTCTCATCTTCTCCTGCTAATCCATCCCTTTTCTACTTTGCACTGAGCCCCGGAGGCTGATTTCTACAGTCTGTCACTTGGACTACCTTGAAGTCTGGCCCTTAGCTGAGTTTGGCCATTATAAGGGCCAGTGCAATGGAAGGGTGAATTGGAGTATTTATTCCCCAATTTCTCCCTTACCTTGCCCCTGCAAACCCACTGGCTAAGCCCTGGGCACCTGCTTTTCCCCTGTGCTGTTCACCTTATCCTGCCAATACATGGAGGGATTAGGTATCTATTTCCTTGTTGAGATCCCACCTAAACGGTCATTTTACTAACTACATGCAGTATTCTAGAATAGCTTTCTCTTTACGAGTTCTAAAGACTTGGTCCACACAAAAAAAAATTCCTTGTTTCTGAAATAAAACAGCTATGAATATTCTTTGATCTATAACAAAAGTATTTAGGAAAAAAAGAACACCTTATTTTATAACAGCTCTTAATACCTTATAATCAGGTCGAATATTTGCAAAATATATGAAGGAATCAACAGCAAGTGCAATTTTCAGTCCACCTCCTTCCCAAGACAGTGCAGTCATCTGCTTCCCAGGAACTTTCAAAGCACCCAAATGCTGGGGGGAGGGAGGGGAAAAAATCACAATAACCTCAAGTTTATATCACAATGACAAATTACTCCCACCAGCACTTAATTAAGATCAACAGTGGTAAGAAAATGATTCTGTGAAGAACTATTATTCATTTTTAAATAAATTTTTTCTTTTTAGACTAAAAAACATACATTTGATAGAAGTTTATAAACTATATCCACAGTACTGGAAAACAAATTTCACTAAATCTAAGATACTACAGTCTGAAATATTCTCCTTTACTTTTATGTGCAACTTAGGAAAAAAGTGTTTCTAATTAAAATATAGTGTGATTTTAAGATACATCCCTTCTACCCTTCTTGTCATAGAACAAGAAGGCCCTCACTAGAGCCATAGCCTTGGCAGGGCCGTCCAGCCCTGCAAGCAAATAAACGTCAGAGCTTGTTTCCCAGCATGTGGTACTCAGTACTAGCAGTGGACAATGATGAACGACAGATGCACTAACCCCTGCTCCACAGGGAAACTAAAGGAACAACCAAACAAAAACAGAAAGTCTTACCTAGGAGGATCTGTCTTGCTGCCTACATGAAACCAAAGGGTACCCAACAAGCTTGGGTGAGCATCCCTGCACCAGGAGAGATAAAGGCCAGCACCTAGCTATACAAACTGGCCAGGAGGTGGCAGCATTGCAGACAAGAAGCACTGGCTATGTTGCCAAGCACTACGCAAAGCCCTTCATCCTTCTCTCCTCCAATCCTCAGAACACCACCAATAGAAGTTACCCCAATTCTAGAAAACAAGCAAGCTTCATCTCAGAAATAAGTGAGTCAAACAATGCCTCCAAAATGGAGCAGAGAGCCAGGCTCTAATTTCAAACCCCATTACTACCACCCAAAACAAAAGAAAACAAAGAAAAAAAAGACTAGACATGTAGCAATCCAGCAATCCCACTTCTGGGCGTTTACTCAAATAATCACAAACAAGGCCATACTAAAGCTACCAGGACAACTATGTTTATCACAGCATTATTTACCATAGCTGAGATATGGAACCAACCCAGATGCCCCTCAATAGATGATAGATCAAGAATATGTGGTACATATATATATACATATATGTACATATATATGTGTGTGTATACGTATATGTATATATATATATAAAATGGAGTTCTATGCTTCTATCAGAAAGAATGACACTGCCCCATTTGTAAGGAAATTGAAGGACTTGGAAAAAAATCATATTAAGTGAAGTAAGCCAGACCCAAAGAATATAGGTCCCATGGTTTCCCTTATTTGTAATAATTAGTATACGTCTAGGATAATCTTAGCAGTTGAGCAGAATAGCTCAATAGCCATGTACATATGACCATATAAGAATGATGCTAAGCAAAATTAACTCCAAGACATGGACACAAGAGGTTTTTCTTGTTGTTTTTAATGTACTATGTAATTTCTTTTTTTCTTTTGTGTTTTTCCCCTTATGGTTTATCCTGTTGTCACCGTATTAGAATTTGGTACCCTAGGTATTGTATATACATTTACCTGAATCAAGAAAGGGAAGAACAACAAAATGGTGAGACAAAGGACAAAGTGGGAACCAATGCAACAGTGATACTCACAAGACAGTATGTTGGAAATGATCTGTACAAATTGGGGTGGAGGGAGATTGGGAGGGAAGGAAAGTGGAAGGAAAATGAGGGAAGGGATAACAAGTTTGACAAGAACTGTACTCACTACCTTACTTATGTAATTGTAATCCTTCTGTACACCTTGACAATAAAATAAAAATTATAATAAAAAAACTTTAAGTACTAAAGTATATGACACTACTCAAAAGCCAGTTGTGAAGAGATTAATAGGCAGACCAGACAGAATATCCTAGATAGCTACTCCATAGTGATATCTTATGTCAGACTTCTAGGTTTCTTTTATTTTTTTTCCTTTTGTTTTGTTTTTGTCTTTTGAGGCATCATCTTACTGTGTACCTTTGGCGGGTTTTAAACTTTGGATCATCCTGTCTTATGCTGAGATAGGTTTGCACCACCATAACCAGCAAACTTCAGGGTTTCTAAATGAACATTACCAAATAAACTCCATAATAAAATACAATTTGTGGCATGAATACATTATTCACACACTTATAGTCTCAGAATTACTACTTAAAATGTCCTTAAATAAATGACGTTTATACTTTTTCTATTTTTTTTCCTGCCTGCAAAAGGGAAGAAGTAATCACTGAAATGCATTTACCTCACCAAAGGGAGTATAAAACTGCACAGAGTTGATATCTTTTTCCTGAGTGACGACCCTCTGGGAGCCGGCCACAGCTAACACACTACCAGTGTGGTTCCACTGGATGCTGACCACGTTCATGCCCGTATCAACCAAAATTGGGTCTAGTCAAGAAAAAAAAAAAAAAAAGGTAAGTTAAGAGTGACATAACCTACAGAACTGTATGAGGTTAAGACAATTTTTAAATATTCATTTAATTCTCCAATTATAAATGGGAAGATGACTTACTTTGGTCATTTTCATGTCTCATTATTTGGCATCTTCCATTGTCAAAACAAATAGCCAGGCAAGGACAGTCAGGTTCCACATAGCCTTCTGTGCCATGGTACCAATGAATGCCTGCGATGCTGATGGCTCCAGTGACGTTCACCAAACAATTCAGCTTCATTTTCATCTAGACAGATTCACATAGCTTACTTATGGGCAATTTCAAACAGAGAGCTGCTGGAAGTACATTGAAGGTGGGATCTAAAATCTGGCTGCAAAGGCAAGCCTCAAGGCTACTGAGAGTACTCTCAGAGGACAATGTCACACAGAAACTGACTATTTGTAGATTAGAGTAATGTCTGAATCCTCTTCACAAACAAAACTGCCTCACCAGTGGGTCAGAGGTCTATCCTGGCTCCACCTTGCAAAGCCAGAACTTTTCTCCAAGTTACATGACTTTCCCTTCTTTCTACAAACTTGTTTTTCTCTCATGATATAAGTCTCCCATTCTTTCTGCAAACAACTTTTATTGATTCAAAAATACTTTAATATCTAGCTGCATGAAAACCTGGACTTGAGGCAGCAGAAGATACTAACAAATTTAAATTTCACAGCACCCTAATACCTATCCCCTGCTTTAACACACTGACACTGAATCCATCCAGATGCCAAAAACCAGAACTGAAAGCAAGGCTAATCTCTATGGGCCTTAGAGAAACTAATTTGTAAAAAAACTTGACTAAAAAAAATTTTAGCCAAAAAAATTTTTCCAGCTAAAAATAATTTCTAGCCAATGGCTCATGCCTATAATCCTAGCTACTCAGGAAACTGAGATCTGAAGATCACAAAAGCCAGCCCAGGCAGAAAGGGCCATGAGACTCTTATCTCTAATTAACCACCAAAAAAGCTGGATGTAGAGCTGTGGCTAAAATGGTAGAGCAGTAGCCTTAAGCACAAAAGCTCAGGGCCAGTACCCAGGCCCTGAGTTCAAGTCCCCAGACCAGCACACACACACACACACACACACACACACACACACACACACACACACAAACACACACACACACACACACACAAAATTACCTTTAGTCTCAGTTACTCAGAGGCAGAGATTAGGAGGACCATGGTTTGAGACCAGCTTGAACAAAAGAGCAATACCCCCATCTCAAAAAACAAGTTGGGCATGGAGTCATACCTGTAATCCACTAAACATACCTATAAGTCTAAAAGCTACTGTGGAAGATACAGGCAAAAGGATTATGGTCCAGGACAGCTAAGGCAAACACATGAGACCCTACAAGAAATAACTTCCATTAAGTAGTGCTGGGGGTATAGCTTAAGTGGTAAGAGTGCCTACTGACCAACATGAGACTCTGAATTCAAAGCCTAGTACCACAAAAACTTTTTTTGATTGAAAAAGAGAAAAAACTGACTCAAAGACTAATTACATAAACTATAATAAACGTACATATAAAGGATATAATAATTACATAAAGCTATGTAAATAGATATAATGAGTATGTACTTACTATAAAATTTCCTTGATTATCATAAATGTGTATTTCCCCATTCGCCATTCCAAAAAGTAAGATTTTACTATCTGCAGACCATGCTACATGGCACAACTGTATACCCTTCAGGTCTTTTCCCCAAATACGGTTCCCTAAAACAAAACATAAATATAATTATTGGAAGTTCAGAGTCACTATCTTCCAGCTGCTTTCAAAATCTTTGTCCCCCTAAAGAATATCAAATGCCCATTCTTTATTGACTAACCTACCTAAATTAATTATTGAGCACATATATAAGCTAACATCGTAAAAGACCTTTTAAGCAGCAGCCATTCCTTTTCACTATCATGAACTCTTTCTTCTGCTCTTCTCCAAATGCTGCTGGCTTCTAACTCTACCAATGGCCCTTAAGTTTCTTCACCCATTTGGGGTTTAAGCTACCGTGCATATCTAGAGATTCCCCAATTACGCCTTCAGCCAGATGTTTCTGAGCTGCAGCCATAAATACCTAACAAGGATCTGGGTCTCATTCACTTCTTCCAGTATCACCTTAGGAAAACAAACAATAGTGTTTTCTTTTTCTTAAATATACTTGCTTAAAACAGAACCAGCAAAGCAAAAAGTATTCTTAGATGTCATCAAATTGTGAATCAAGTGTTGTATCTATTTTTAAATCAGAATGCTAATTGTTATGATACTTAAATCTCTAGGGATAAAAGCCAGCTGGATGTTGCTTAGTCCAAGGCATGCATGCATACCATCCACCGAGCCAACGATCACAGCTCCATCCTCATATACGATACAGATCTTCTGCCCGTCGGAATTCCAGCTCATACTTCGAACCACTGACTTGTTCCGATTGTTGATCATCTCCTCATACCAGGAGCCTGTTTCCAGAGATTAAAAAATTGACAAGTCACACTTTTACATCTATTGAATAGTACTTCTAGTTAACAGTTTGTCTAGAAAGCATCCTATGGGATAAATAGTTGCAAAGCTTTCTTCCATCTGTGGAACTGAACTATAGACCATCAAACCCAACACGCGCACGCGCGCGCGCACACACACACACACACACACACACACACACACACACACGAGAAAAAGTCACCTAACCTTGGGGCCAATTGCTTCAAGGTCATCACAGGAAACACAACAAACACCTATTATTTTCCCTTTGTTCTTTCTTCCTCTTTCTACCTCTTTCTTCTAGTCAATTAAGATTGATTGAATATACTATTAACATGTGTGGAAATGTAACAGTAAAATTCTCCTCTGTGTAACTAACATAAGCTAATGGGAGTGAGACGAGACAAAGAGAGACAGAGAGAAATAAATAAAACTTTAAAAAATAAGTAATTAGGGCTGGGAAGGTGGCTCAGTGGTAGAGCGCTTGCCTTGCATGCATGAGGCCCTGGGTTCGATTCCTCAGCACCACATAAGCAAAAAGAAAAAAGCCGGAAGTGGCACTGTGGCTCAAGTGGTAGAGCGCTGGCCTTGAGCTGAAGAGCTGAGGGACAGCGCCCAGGCCCAGAGTTCAGGCTCACGACTAGACCCAAAAAAATAAAAAATAAGTAATTAAAACCCTATTTGCTTTTTTAGGCCCAAAACCACTGGTTTTTTTAATTAACTTTCCCCTTTTAAAAATAACATATAGCATTTTCATATAATAACTATGAAGAGATGACAGCAAACACCACCTTACATGTATGCATACTCATACTCTCAAAGATTAATTACATACTAGGCAAAAGCATCTCAAACACTAGGTAAATGCTGAGCTTATAGTACGTTACAGTAATAAACAGATCATCATTATGCTGATGACAAAAACATTCTAACTACAAAATCGCCTACCTGAGATGAGATGTGACTTCCCTGTAGTAATATCAAATTAGAGGAAAAAGAAAAAAAGCAGAGGGGATGGAATATACTGGCCAGCAGCCAAGTAAATAGTCACATGATTTAGACTAACTCTTCAAAACAGGGCACTAACAGAATCATGACTGAAGCCTTGAGAAGGCTGACTCTGAAAACCAAAGGTACACTAATCTACTGTACTCCATGTGGTACCCCACTGCATGCCTATACACACACTCTCTCTTTAAAATAAAACTCATAATTTTAAATTAAAAATTTGTAAATGTCATATTCTGAACCTTTACAAAACAGGAGACATTACTAAGGAAAATGATGGCTACTCTCCTGAACAAAATACACATTATGAGCTGCTTCTCTAGTAACAGTGACACATCTAAGTTAACCCTTCTCTTCCTTCACCCCCTGGCTCTCAATTGTAGACAAGGAACACAAATTATGAATCAGTTGTCTGAGCTGAGAGAAAATGTATATCCACAAAAAAATGGGAAGCTAACTGACTCAATCCAAGGAACGAATTATTGCCTTTGACTTCATAAATGTGTTTCTAACTTGTAAGCTAACCCCAGCCACTAATTGCATAGGGAGTAATTCCCATTGGAAGTCTGGAAGGTGGGAGGGAACTATCACATGTAGAAACTAGTCTACTAAGTGTCCAAGTTCATTTTGAAGACATTCAACAGTAACTTATTTGTTTTCTTAATGGGTTCACAGTTCAAAAGAAATAACTGGGCAGAAATAAATCCAGAGTACCACTGCACAGTCAGCATGAACTCCTCCTGCTAGTTATAATGAATCTATTTTAGAGAAATACTGTGAGCCAGACTCCAGTTAGTGAAATACAACAGCTCCTAAAATACCTTTATATAGCATCCAAACAATGATAAGCCCATTCTGATCACTGGTAGTCAACTTCTGATACTGCTCATTCCAGGTTATAACTTGAACTGCACCTAGGACATCAGAACACAATTTATAAATTTTAAAATTACAGTTAATTTCAAATCTGTATCTGCATAAACCCCAATTAAACAGTCTTCAATATTAAAATTATAGATACCAAAAAGATTCAGAGGATATAGTTACTGAAGTCACTAATTTTCTACAACTACGCATAATGCAATTTCTATCTACCCCTCTATCATAAGACATATCTATGGCCACTTAAAAAGTTATCTTTGATCTGATGAGAAACATAAGCAAGCAGAATTGGGAGTATAGCTCAAATGGTACAGCATCAGCCCTGAGCAGAAAAGGCCAAGCAAGACCTCAAGACCCTAAGTTCAAGCCCCAGTGGAAAAAAGAAAAGAGAAAGTAAACCTAGCTGGACATTGAGGGCTCACACCTATAAGCCTAGCTACTCAGGAGCCCATCAGTCTCTTATCTCCAAATAATCACCAAAAAGCTGGAAATGGAGCTGTGGCTCAAGTGGCAGAGAACTAGCCTTTGACCAAAAAAAAAGCTGAGGGACAAAACCCAGGCCCTGAGTTCAAGCCCTAGTACCTGCACACACTAAAACTTCAAGCATGAATGATTAACCAAACCATTATTGATGTCCCAAAGGAAACTGTGTTGTCCTTTTGAGATTTTTGGTTGGTTAGTTGTTTGTTTTCCATTTTCCCTCATCTCAATTTTCTATACTATTAGTAACAAGTTATGAGTACCTCTTAAACTCTGGGTTATATAAAAAATTGATTTTTTTGTTTTCTTATCTATAAATTCTTCAGTGTCTATTTCCTAATGACAATACCTTTCATAATCATATTATAAATCTAAATTTTTAACTGATAAACTATTGTCTAATACATAGTCCATTTTCAGATTTCATCAATTGTTAGATAATGTCCTTTCTAGATATTTCTTTGTCTCCTAGCAGGATCCATGAGATCATATAATTCATTCAGTCATTTTATCTTTAGTTTCCTTTAATCTGGAATCACAAGACAGATTCTTTAAAATGACCTGACATCATTTTAACATATTTATATTATATATACACACATATACATAGACATGTATGTATATATATAGTCAGACATTTTTAATATATAAAATAACAGTACTTTTCCATACTTATCAAAGATGCATAATCCTGTTAAAAGATGATATGCCTCTAGGCCATATAAATTATGGCTCAATAAAAATTATTATTTTAAATATTATAACTATCTAAAATGTCAACATCCCTGCATTAAGTACATGGATTCAAAATGAATAAAAAATAAAAACTAGATGACTCACCACTGTGACCTTCCAGGGTCTGATTCATAGAAAGGTTACTAGGAGCTGCAAGACCCTTCAATTTTGCATCATCTAAAGCAAAAAAATAAATAAAAATTAAAACTTACTATACTATATATATACATATACATGTATAAAAGCAATAGGTTATATGTTTTTTTTGACATATCCTGAGGTTTGGCGAGATAAAGACATTAGAATGGTTTTCTGTCCCTCATTCACAGTGCAAGTGTGAATAATACTGTATTCTCCTTTCAAAATAATAGTCTAGGGAAATATTTTACTCAGTAAAATTTTACTCAGTAAAATATCAGTGCAGTCACTAGTGCTCCATTTTCCTTCCAAGAGATCCTAGCTAGAAGATCTGTGGGCAGAGACTGAAAACACTAAAACTTATTTATGAGGGACCAGACAGCAAAGACCTTAGAAGCAAGTTTTTTTATTGAGTTTCACAGAACTTCATGCATGTATTCATTCCTTCAACTAATATTTATTCAAGATGCACACTGTGCTAGGAACTAAGGAAGGTACTGGGTAGCAAATGATGAACAAAATGGTTCCTTCTTCTCATAGAGCTTGTAACCTATGGGTAGTATGGTGAGAAATCTCACACGTGCACACACACACACATACACATAATTACAAACTTGGAAAGTAAAGACAGCACAAGAGAGGGCCACAGGGGCTAGTTTAGACTGAAAACAGACAAGGAAAGAAATGATAACTGACTAGGGATAGCAAGGCAAAATAAGGACAGGTAAGTGGATTGAATCTAGATAGCAAGCAAGAAATGAAAGGCCCTGGACCTCTAGTGACTGAAACAAAGACCTGTGTGAAGGAAGGAAGGAAAAATGGGCTCAGAGGGAGAGGGGGTGATGATCAGATCACCTGATTCCTTGCCTCTCTATGAAGGCAACATGAGGGACTACACATGAGGGATACAGCTATGCATGCATGAACTGATCCCTCTGTTGTCCTGACCATCTTCAAAGGCTGGGCCATTCTCACTGCTTCAGTTAACTTCAGACAGTACACATGACTACAGTTAGCTGGCATGACCTTTAAATACTGCTCCTCTGATCCAAGGGGATTTTTTATTAATAAGGTTTTTTTTTATTATGAAAATACCGTACAGAGGGGTTATAATTAATGAGTACATTTCTTATCAAGCATTGTTGCCTCCTCCTTTGTTTCCCCTTACCAAGTGTTGTTTTTTTTTTAATCCAGATTCTCTATCTCTTAAGCATTGGCACCATGAAAAGCTAGAGATGCCACCTCAGTCAAGTCCTAGATCCAGTTACTTGGGGGATCACCTAAGCCCTGGAATTCAAGGCCAGCCTAGACAACATAGATGGAGGGGGGGGGGGGGGGGAAGAGAAGGGAGAGTGGAAAAGGAGGAGGAGGAGGAGGGGGAGGAGGAGGAGGAGGGGGAGGAGGAGGAGGAGAGAATGTTACCTCAATCACCTTTAAACTCTACTACCCTACCTACATCTTGGCTACCAGTCTTTTAACTTAAAACATTTCAGCAGAGTTTTTTTGTTTTTGTTTTACAGATGACATTGGCTAGTGTGTAAAGAATGACAAGAAAGAGGCAAGAGCCAATGGGATTTTCCTAGCCAATGGTTTTCCTAGAAGTCTAGATGAGGACTGACAGTGGCTGGAGAACCAGAAGTTACAGGGAACACAAAAGAGATGAGTGTCATCAAGGTAAACTTGGGACATGGAAGCAATGATTGCTGATGGGGTGATATTAAAGTGGAAGGGGAATGGGGAGAAAGGGGGATCCAGCTGAGCAAATAAATGAAATTAAGACCCTGGCTGAATGGAGATACTTAAGATTTGGAAGATGACTGGGATTTTGGTTTTGGACAGTAAACCGGACATGACTGTGGACATGGAATGTAGACACGCCAACATATCTAAAACTAGGATCCTGCAGGAGATATAAATAAAGATCATCATCCCACACAAGGATTTGAAGTTGCAGGAATGAAGAATAAGTGATGACAGAACAGATCCAAGTTCTAAGTAATTCCAATCATTAGAAAAATCTAATGAATTATGAATCTAGTAAAGACATTGAGGACGTCACACAGAAGGGATAGATAATATGTTTAAGTGACAGTAATTTCTTTTACTTCTCCTGTCTGGAAAAATAATATTTAAAGAAAGGAAGAAGCCAGGCACCAATGGTTTGTTATAATCCTAACAACTCAGGAGTATGAGATCTGAGGATAACAGATCACAGCCAGCCTGGAGAGACAAATCCATGAGACCCTTATCTCCAATTAACTAGCAAAAAGTTAAAACTGTAGGCATGACTCAGCCTTGAGAAGAAAAAGAACAAGAAGGAGCACAAAGTCCTCCAAGACCCACAAACAGACATGTTTTAAAGAAAAAATGCCCTCTGCTTCTCATGATGGTACCTGCTTTATAGTCTCAGCTTCTCAGGAGGTTGAAGCAGGATAGCTTGAACCCAGGAGTTCAAGGTCAGCCTGGCAAAGTATTAGTCTCTTTCTCTCCCTCTCTCTCACACACACACACACACACACACACACACACACATACACTCAGTGTCACACAAAATAAATGGCAGCCTTCTGAGTAGCTAGGACTACAGGTGTGTGCCACCTGCACCCAGCGTTTTGGTTCTAGGCAAGCAAATTAATGTAATTTAAACCTGATACAAGCTAGGCGCCAGTGGCTCACATCTGTAATCCTAATTATCAGGAGACTGAAATTTGAGCATCATGGTTCAAAGCTAGCACAGGAAGGAAATCTATAAGATTCTTATCTCCAGGTCTGGGAAGGTGGCTCAGTGGTAGGGCGCTTGCCTTGCATGCCTGAGGCCCTGGGTTCGATTCCTCAGCACCACATAAGCAGAAGGGGAAAAAAAAGCCGGAAGTGGCACTGTGACTTAAGTGGTAGAGCGCTAGCCTTGAGCTGAAGAGCTGAGGGACAGCGCCCAGGCCCAGAGTTCAGGCCCCATGACCGGACCCAAAAAAAAAAAAAGATTCTTATCTCCAATTAACTACTAAAAAGCCAGAAGTGGCAGTGTGTGTGGCTCAAATGGTAGAACACTAGCCTTGAGGAATAAAAAGCCCAGGCCTTGAGTTCAAGTCCCAAGACCTGCACACACACACCCAAAAATTTTTTATACAAATTTTAATTGGATTTGTTGATATGAACATATACACATAAACATGTGAGAAACATTAACAGAGGGAAAAAACACATTCTTAAAGCACTGAGAGATTAAATTACAAAACATCAGAAGCGAAAGTTTTATACTTAATATTGATTTTTCAAAACTGCCTTTTGACTCACAAAATTAATGTAGTCTCCTCTTTGCTTATGCTATCCATGAGTTCTCTGTTGAATGGTTAAAAACAAGGACTTGAATGTGAAATAAACTTAGTTTCCAATGCTAGCTCTACTATTCACTGCCTGCAGAACCTTGGCAACTTATTACCTAATCAGTACCTCCATTTTCTCCCCTGGAACATTCACTTCTATCAAATGGGTCATTCAGGAGTGTGTGGCAGAGCCAATTCCAAATGCAATTTCTTTATCTAGATCCACAAACTTGATTAAGAATCATCTAGCCCGCTGCTGGTGGTTCATGCCTATAATCCTAGCTTCTCAGAAGGCTGAGATCTGAGAACTTCGGTTCAAAACCAGCCCAGGCAGGAAAAGTCTGTGACACTCTTATCTCCAATAAACCACTCAGAAAACCGGAAGTGGCACTGTGGCTCAAGTGGTAGAGCAGTTGCCTTGAACTGAAGAGCTCAGGGACAGCGCTCAGGCCCAGAGTTGAAGCCCCAAATCTAGATCACCAACCTAGACCAACAAGATGAAAGCTAAAAATTGTATAACTGTTTGCTGTCCTTTCAGAGATCTAGTAATTTTAAAAATGTAAAATATATTCAGTTTTCTATTTGGGAGCACTAGTCACATAATCATTGAGAAAAATTATAGAGGCCTGTAAATAGCATACAATAAAAAAAAGTATCTGAAAAAAATAAAGCAAAAAGGGACTGGAGACATGGCTCAACGGGTAGGCTCAACGGGCCTAGCAAGTGTGAGGCCCTCTACCACCAAAAGTATAAATATGCCAAAATGTGAGATTTTGTCATATTACCAAAGTGTTGATTTCCATGGCTTCAATTTGAATCCTATGGCATCAGTTCGATCTTTGGACATAGCATAAGACAACATACTTTTCATTTTTTTTACTTTACATCAATAATATCAGTAAAAAAGCAATCTGATGTTTACTATATAATGTTATTTATATTATCTACACTTGATTGAAAAAATACACTAGGAAAATCACCATACTCTCACACAAAATCACATACAGAATCATGCATACTCTTTTTAAGAGCTAGACAAATACTTTCAACAAATCTGACATTAGCCATTTTTCTAGCGATCTCAAACATTTTGGCCTTGTCTTCATTTACCTGTTTGTGTCTCTAATTTCAAAACTTTCAATAATCCCTCTTCACCTCCACATGCTATAAACCCTTGGTCCTTGTTCCAGGATATACACTTCAGCCTCACGTTGTTAGGTATGGCGATCTGTAAAAAGAGTCACAGCCATGCTAGCACCTTTTCACGAAGGAAGGGGGCGGCAGTTAAGTCTGAAGACTTAAGAAAAGATTCCAAAGAAAACAGCAGACCTTGCGAGTGGGGGGGGGGGGGGGAGAGGGCGGGTAGAGAGGAGGAAAGGAGCCTTTATGGACAGGGACGTGGGTCCCCCAAATGCCCCCAAGGTACTACCTTTTAGTAGAGGAAAAGGAGTGCACACAAAAGAGGAAGAAAGCCAGGTGTGTAGGTCGCCTGAAGAATGTCTAAAAGCTGGAGAGAGAGGTATAAATTCATACGACTATGCATTTCCCTGCACAGTATTGGACCACCCAAGTGTTTTGTTGTTATGAGCCACCATCCGAATCCGCAGCAAGGAGTGGAGGAAAGACGGCAGCACGGCGTAGCAGCAGGTGGCCTGTCCAGCAGGACACCCCAAAGGGCCTGGCCGGGGGAGGAGGGGGCGCATCGGAGCATGGCTGGAGAAGGAAGCTGCCTCAGCCAAGGGGTACCGGAGACAGAAGGCCGGGAGGAGGAGGGCCGAGGCTGGACCGGCGTGGAGCCCGGAGGAGGAGGGCCGAGGCGCGGCGGGGTACAGAGCAGGTAGCCGGAGGGCCAAGGTGAGGAGACGCTGCCGTCCTGGCGGGAAGGATGAAGGACGGCCCGCGGGCTCCCGGAATGGAGGAGGAGCGAGGCAGACCCCCGGGAAACTCACTTTCTTGCTCAGGTAGAAGAACATCGTGGAGACTCAGTGGGAGGCCCAAGGCCCACAACTGGTAACGGCTTCTACATCCCCACTGGCCGGTATCTGCAATCGGGGAAGCTCCCGTCGCCCTGGCAACCGCAGCCGCTCCGTGGCATCCGGCGCGCTGAGGAGCACTTCCTGTGCCGCTGCCCCGCCCCCTTCCCTATTCCCTGGGCCTCCGTGAGTCTTTGTGCGCCTGCGCGGGCGATGGGTCCGCCCACTCCAAGCGGGATCTTATACCCGGAGGCTAGGCTTTGAGAGCGGGCTGGTGGAGTCACGTGATCTGATCAGTATCGCCGTTGGCCGCTCGACCGTGCAAATTAACGCGTTTTGCGGGGAGGGCGTGGAGATCTCTCGGGAGCAGTTTGGGCGTTGAGAAGTCTGTTTATTCTGCGTAGGGGTTGGTAAAATGGTTAAACTGTTGCTGAGGCCCTGAGGCTGCTGTAATTGTTGCGGGCGCATAGCTCCCCTGCTGGGCGGTGTGGCACCCCCCCCACCCCCTCCCCCACCCCCTCCCCCGCCCGATGTCCACTTCTCCTTCTGCCTCAGTTGTTTTCTCATTCTCCCTGGTCTGTTTTCAATGTGTGATTGATGCAGAGCCTCAGAATCCGAAGCATAGGGCAGTAGCCCACGTACAGCCACCCCCTTGGGAGTCTTTGAGCTCAAAGCCTTTTTCATCGCTGCAGCTGCAGGTGCTGATGTGTATCATCAGGGTGCACTTTACACAAAGGAAAGGTGTAGTACCCCCCGTGGGGTCTTCCCCCTTTCAAATCTTCATATCCTGTGACCTGAACCTATTGTTGGTCACCCAGCATCTTCGAGAGTTGACTATTCCCAGTGCCTTTTCTAGTAAATCTAAATTCCACCTAAAAACCACAGTTCCTTCATCCTAAAAGGATCTTTTATGATGACATAAGCCTTTCACTCCTTCTTGTACATTAGTTCTCATTTATTCCTTCTATCCCAGTATTTCTCTACTATATTAATATAGAATCAAATAAATTGGGGAAATACCGCTGTCGTTCTATGCCATGTCTTTTCCAAATTTGAAAGTTAACAATTGTTGTTTTGTATAATAAGCTGATTTAGTGTATTTCTTTAAGGTTATTTTAGGTTTACATCTGTAAATTATATTTGCTTCTCAGGAACTTATTTATGTCAATGTTAGCCTCTCATTTTGTCTAAATCTAGATAATTTTACTCCATCTGCTGCAATAATTTTATCTTACTCCATCTGCAAACATACTTCATTATAGCCTACTAGTGGTATTATCTAAAATAATAGGTTTCACTGTGACATTTTCATTCATGTGTATAAGATATTGATGATCTCCATCCCTCCATTTCCTCCTCTCACCTCCCCCATTCCATTTGATCCCTCTCCTTTTTAACAATTCTATTACTTTCATGTCTTCCTCCTTCCCCTAGATTACACATTGAGAGAAAATATATAATGCTTGTCTTTCTGAGTCTGGATTATTTCACTTAACATGATAATCTTCAACTCTACCCATTTTCCTAAAACTGATATAGTTCTTTTTTATTTAGTTTTTATTATTATAAAGGTGTTGTACAAAGGGGGTCACAATAACATAAGTCAAGTAATGAGGACATTTCTTTTTGGAGAATGTCACCCCTTCCCTGGCTCTCCAGCAGTTTTTCCCTCCCATCTCACCCACAAGTTGTATAGTTTCAACATAGTGCCTAGTGAGTACTACTGCTGCATTTGTTCATCCTTTGTCCCTCCATTTGGTTCTTTATGATCACATAATACCCCATCATATGTAGATAGATAGGACATTTTCTTTGCTCATTCATTCACTGACAAACACCAGGCTGATTTCTTAACTTGGTATTGTAAATAATGCCACAGTAAACATAGGTATACAGGTATTAGTGGTTACTGTTATTCCAGTAGCACAGTTGGATCACATTATAAATCCATTTTACCAGTGTGTGTGTGTGTGTGTGTGTGTGTGTGTGCGCGCGCGCGCGCGCGCGCGTGCCCGCGCAGTATTTTATTTATTTATTGCTCAAGGTTAGCATTCTACAACTTGAGCCAAAGTTCTACTTCCAGCATTTTGGTGGTTAATTGGAGGTAAAAGTCTCAAGAACTTTCCTTCCCTGGACCGGTTTCATATTATGATCCTTAGATCTCATCATCTTGAGTAGCTAGGATTACAGGCATGAAATAGTTGCATCTGGCTTAATTAATATTTTTTTAACCTCAAGAATATTAGATTTAAGCTGGCACTGGCTCATGCCTGTAATCCTAGCTATGTAGGAGGCTGAGACCTGAGGATTGCAGCTTGAAGCCAGCCAGGGTAGAAAAATCTGTGAGATTCTTATCTCCAAATAACCACCCCTAAACCAAAAGTGGAGTTCTGGCTAAAAGTGGTAGAGTGCTAGCCTTGAGCAAAATTGCTCAGGGATAGCACCAAGCCATGTATACAAGTCTCATGATCAGCAAGAAAAAAGTATCTGAGATTTAAATATAGTAAAAGTATCAACATTCTATCCTTTGACACAAAACTGATACCCTCAAAATAATTACTAATTTAGTTCAACATAACTATATTCAGTAGACAAAATTAACACAAATCATCAAAAAAGGACATAACAATAATAAAGAGAATAAATTTTATTGTATTAAAAAATTCAAACCAAAATAAAGAATTTAGTAAAGAATCTGAGCATTAGGTTTCCTACTAACATTAAATAAGACAATCTTAGATTTTATTACTTGTTATGTCAATTTTACATAAACTTATTAATTGATCCCAAAGCAAAATAATAAAGTAAATTTAGGGTTGTGTTTTCCTTTTTTGGCCTTGGTAAAAAGTTTAATATCCTATTTACAATTAATGTTTATTTGTTGTAAATTTATAAGGCCAGAATGAATTTAGGTTGGTATTCAATGTTCACTAATAGTACTTTGTGTTAATAGTTTTTTTAATATATTGCAATCCCTTGATCATAGATTCAATAATGCTCAGTAAAATTATGCACAATACAAGTGTTAAATTGTGAACAGTTCTAAATTATATATCACAATTTAATCATATAAGCCTTTTATATGTAACTTTTGTATACTTTGTAACTTTATATATAACTCTGTAAAAGTTATACTCATAAGATTTTTACATATTATAAATATTATCAAGAGAAAATAGATCTGATGTTCCCATTACCCACATGACTATCTTTACTCATCTAATAATTAATAGTTAAATGGCTCAATTAGTAGCTAATAAAACATTAAACATTTTATTCTACTTCCTAGCAACCATTTCACAGTCATAGCATAGACAAACTAAAGTGTGCTTTTAATAAAGTTCTGCACACTTATTTCCTTAGAAAATAATATTGCTTCTCCAGAAAAGCCTCATACTATTTATCCAGTAATACCAAGGCATAATAATGGCAAATTACTGGGAGGAACATTTGAAGAAACAAGTGAACAAAAGGATAAGAACTAAACACATAAATTCTCCACATTTCCATATGAAAAAATCTGAGTATTTTTAACGATGTACTTGTCCATATTCATTTACTTGCAACTTCTCCAGAATGTCATCGAGTGGTTTCTTGTTAAGGCCAGTACTATTCATTTGTATGCATTAGACACAAACACTCTTTCAAACACTTCAACAGTAGAGAAAACAATGTAAAGAAGAGCAAAACTATTTTCTCACCAAGTCTAATCTAAAATTCAGATATTCTTTGGAGAGCATGATAAAATGAGACTACAGCAGTAGTCTTCAAATCTTTTTGCTCATACAAAATTTAATTAGAAAGTCATCTCTTAGTGGTGTGGGTGTGGAAACAATATTCATAAAGTCTTGACAGAGTTGCTGAGTTGACCCTGTGTTTGTATCTTCATAGATTCAGGAAGAATGCTTTACTTGCATAGTTAGGAGAATGGAAACACTGATGTGAAACATGGGGAAAGTAGTGTCCTAAGCAAAAGAATGATTTGGAAATTCATTCCTTTAAGATTATACCCTCCTTGAAAGCCTGCGTACTTGTCAGTTATACCTACCACAGTCTGATTTCTATTCCCTCTGAGTTTTATAAAAATAGAGATGATAACTTGAGCTATAAAGACAAAAGTACTTTTTCTATGTTAATCCTTTAACCAAATAACTTATTTTTAAGGTTTCTGAGACAGTATCATTCTGCAGTCTGTTTTGTGAGCATTCATGTGGAACCACGTGCTTCCAAGATACCACACCCTGATTTGTTCTGTACTTGCACAGATTCTGAGCTCAGAGGCCATAGTAAGGAAGTATCATATCATCACTCTGTTATACAGGAATTCTGTTATTGCTATGGGAAAATCCTAGGAAAGAAATAGTTACATAGCTCTTACCTGTAAACATCACATGTGCATAGATGATGTACAAAACCATTATAAAGGAATTTTATACCTGACTTATGTAACTATAATACCCTGTACCACCTTTATAATAACAATAAAAATAAAGATGCAATGAATACATAACAGCACCTATTAAATGATAAACCTCTTGTACAAGAATAATTTAAAATATTTTTTTGCCAGTCCTGGGGCTTTAATTCAGAACCTGGGCATTGTCCCTGAGCTTCTTTTGCTCAAGGCTAGCTCTCTACCACCTGAGCCACAGCCCCACTTCTGGTTTTTTCTGTGTATGTGGTACTGAGGAATCGAACCCAGGGCTTCTTCATGCATGCTAGGCAAGCACTCTACCACTGAGCCACCTTCCCAGCCCTTAAAATATTTTTAAAATTAAAGCTTATAAGTCTTGCAAATAATATTAATACATGCAACTAAACAATTTTAAAAATAAAAAAAATCAAAAGGAACTCTAGTATTTTTCAAAGCACTATTACTGCTTATCCTAAACCAACCAATAAGGTACTTACCTATACAATGTCCAAAAATGTTTGGTACCATTGTGGTATCTAGATTGGCTTTAATAAGAAGCAGAATATCTTCCAAAAAGGATATGTTTGGTGTTCAGTCTTTGAAGATAGGAGCTAACTTTTTCCTGGAATGCCACGGTGGCTTCACAGCCACAAGAATCTTCCGTGGAAATGAGACTCCGTGCTTCTTCAACAGCTGGAGACAATGACATTATACAAATTGTTATAGCAACCTAGAAATTACAACAAATCAGTAGCTGGGCACATAGGTCAATGATAGGGCACTTGCTTGCTATATGAAGGCTCTGTGCTCAAACCTATTACATGGAATTAGAAAAAAAAATAGGAAATCTGCGGTTCAACTCAACATTTCCATTTTCAAGACTTACCTAAAGGTATCTTTAGGAGGTAAAATAATACAAAAACAAAAAGATAAAGGCAATCTTTTGGAATGTTAATGTCACTAAATTGTACTAAGAAACATTGGGGAAATGCTTATAATTGTCAAAACTGGGTGATGCTCATATGAAAGTCCATTATGTGGTTCAATATAGTTTTGTGATTATAAGAAATTATTCATGACATTAAGGAAACTTTTTTAAACGATGGTGAGAGGGTCAGGCATGGTGTTTCATACCTGTAATCCTAGCCCAGGACAAAGTGAGACCTTATTTGAAAAATACCTACAGTAAAAGGGCTGGGAGTGTGGCTTAAGTGGTAGAAGATATGCCTAGCAAGCACAATACCATGACAATAATGTCCTCACTGGAGTCCCCCTTCTACCCTTCATGTTCTCCAGCCTCTTCATAGAGACTTCAAACATACAGACATCATGTTGCGTCGCAGCCTTAAATCTTTCCATGGCTTTCCATCACCCTTGAGATGAAATAAGAACTCCTCTCCCTGTGACCCGGATGTTCAGCTTGATTGAGCACCTGCTTAACTCTCCAAGCCATACTTCCTAGGCCACACTTATTCTAAGTCACGCTCATCCCAAGGCACACTTCCTTTTCCCTGGCCAGTCACATTCCCATCATTTCCAGTCCTCCAGCCACACTCAGAGCTTCCCTTCCTTCTTCCGCTAGGGCTCCAGTCTCAACCTAACCACAGCTTCTCCCCAACTCCCACGTGTCACTTCCCAGCCAGCAGTCCTTTCTCCGAAACCCTCCTCTGCCCCTGTGCTTTCCTAGCATTGCTCCCATTGGATTGATGCATTTGTTTTCATCTGCAAACATGGTGAGGGATGTTAACTGGAGCCAGGAATAGAGAATGTGCCTAGAATATCAAATAGCTACTGTGGCTAGACTGCAAGACTTGGAAAAGAAGGAGTGAATATAGTAGAAAAGAAGTAGTGTCGTCATTGTTTTGCACCAGTTCTGGAGCTTGAACTTAGGGCTTTGAGCTCTGTCTTGGCCTTTTTGCTCATGGCTGGTGCTCAACCACCTGAGCCACAGCTTCACTTCTAGTCTTTTGTGGTTGGTTAATTGGAAATAAGTGTCTCACAGACTGTCCTGCCTGGGCTGGCTTCAAACTGTGATCCTGAGATCTCAGCCTCTTGAGTAGCTAGGATTACAGACATAAGCCATCAGCGCTTGACTTAGAAAAGAAGTTTTAAAAGACAAGCTCAAGTAGAACAGTATTACTAGGGGCCAGATGGGGCCAGGTGAGTGGGGAATGAGCACTTAATGTTTCATGAGGGCGTAGTTTTAGCTTAGGATAATGGAAATATTTTGGAGATGAACAATACTGAATGCCACTGAACTGAACATTTTAAAATTATGAGAATAGAGTGCTAGCCTTGAGCTGAAGAGCTGAGGGACAGCGCCCAGACCCAGAGTTCAGGCCCCACGACCGGACCAAAAAATAAATAAAATAAAATAAAATAAAATAAAATTATGAGAATAGTAAATTTCATATTCTGTATATTTTACTGTGATTTTTTTAAACCATATTTAGATAGAGACATTAATTGGCAAGAAAAGAGAAAGGATGGGATCCAAGTACAGAAGGTAGCTGTCTGGCAGAAAGTAATTTTTTTTTTTAATTTTGTAGACAGCTGGAACTACTGGAAGGATGCGAATGGCATACCATGTAAATAGCAGCTTATTCCTTAAAAAAAATGAAGGCACTTAAAGGGTCAGTCTTTACCTGAACATGTCGTCTTATCTTCATTCAGGATGTAGCCAGGGAAACAGTCACAGTGGTAGGATGCAACCCCATCACTCACACAAATGTGTTGGCAGCCATGAGTACCCAGAACGCATTTGTTATCCACTGACAAGGAGCCATGCAGGAAAGAAAATAAATTAAACAGTAAACAAACAGCCAGGAGCTGGTGACTCGTGCCTGTAATCCTAGCTACACAGGAGTCTGAAAACTGAGCACTGCAGTTCAAAATCAGGCAGAGCAGGAAAATCTGTGAGACTCTGATCTCTAATTAGCCACCAACAAAATCTGGAAATAGAGCTGTGACTCAAGTGGCAGAGCCCTAGCCATGAGAAAAAAAAAATCTCAAGAACAATGTGCCCAGGCCCTGAGTTTGAGCCCCAAGACTAAGCACATTAAAAAAAAAAATACATATGTAACTTTACCACCATTCTGTTCTTCTTCTCCATGCCTCTTTGCTGTCCAGTGCTTTGCATACTATGCCAGTGATTATAAGCAGATGTAACTATTAGATTCAAACCCTGGCTCTGTGACCTGAGCAAGTTTTTCAGTCTGTGCTTCAGTTTCCTTCTAAGGTTGTTGTGAGGGTTGAAAGCATCACGATATGTACAAAATACTAGAATTAAGCATTGTTATATGAGGCCCACAGGAGGCACTGAGGAATATGGCTACAGGTATCTGGAAGTACTGCCTAGAGTGGTCTGCCTTATGAAAACTTGATGTTTAATTTTTCAAGTAAACGCCTCTGTTTTAGCCCATCTGAGATGCAGATCGGGTTTTGTTCCATTTTCTCAGTTCCTCTATGTCCTGGGATTGTTAGAAGCAGCTACAGGGATGGAACCAACGGTGAATGAGTCCTCTCCACTCTAGCTGCCCAGCAAAAACCAGTGCCAGAGCCAGGAGCCAGTGGCTCATGCCTGTAATCCTAGCTACTCAGGAAGCTGAGATCTGAGGATCACAGTTCAAAGCCAGCCCGGGCCGGAAAGTCCATGAAACTCTTTTTTTTTTTTTTTTTTGGGGGGGGGGTCCAGTCGTGGGCCCTGAACTCTGGGCCTGGGCACTGTCCCTCAGCTCAAGGCTAGGGCTCTACCACTTGAGCCACAGCGCCACTTCCGGCTTTTTTCTTTTTGCTTATGTGGTGCTGAGGAATTGAACCCAGGTCCTCATGCATGCAAGGCAAGCACTCTACCACTGAGCCACCTTCCCAGTCCCTCCATGAAACTCTTATCTCCAATAAACCTCCAGAAACCCGGAAGTGGCTCTGTAGCTCAAGTGGTAGAACACTAGCCTTGAGCTGAAGAACTGAAGGACAGTGCTCAGGCCCAGAGTTCAAGCCCCACGACCAACAAAAACAAACAAACAAAAAAACAGTGCCAGCTAGTCCCCTGTCCAGCCTGTGTGTGTGTGTGTGTGTATATGTGTGTGTGTGTATGTATGTGTGTGTGCGCGCGCACACGTGCTTACATTGTTTAATGAAGCTTTAGGAACAAAATAGGTACTCAATATTTTTGTGGTGACTTCTTTTTGTGTTTGTGACAGGGTCTCATGCTATAATCCAGGCTGGCTTCTAACTCCTCTGTAGCACAAATGCACCTTGATCTTATAATCCTCCTACCTCAGCCTCCCTAACTGCTAAGATTATGCACCACCATATTCAGCCTGACTTTATTCTTTTAAAGAGGGGAACTGGCCATATGTAATTTCTCTACATCTGTATTTACTCCTCTCCTCTCCTCTTTGCTCCTCCCTTCCTCTCTTCTTCTCTTCAAGCTTCATACTTGCTTAGCTTGTTTGCTCAGCCGGTACTCTACCACTTGAGCTACATTTCCAGCTGGACTTTTTGCTAGTTATTTTGGAGATGGAATTGCTCAACTTTTTCTGTTCATAATGGCTTCTACAATAGGCAGATCTGCAATGGATCTGCAATCCTCCAGATCTCCACTACCTTAATAGCTAGGATTACAGGTCTGAAACACCGCTGCCCAGTTTTCTTCATCTTCCTTGGTGAGATCCTCGAAATAGAGTTCCATAAGGGAAAAGAAAAGACATGTGAAATCTAGATAGTACTAAATATGTCAAAACTAAACACCACCTCAAGAGCCATGAATTTCTCTCCTTTTGTAGTGTTTTGACTTGTATAAATGCCACTCTGTTCTGCCAGTGAGTTTAAATTAAATTAATGAGGATTTGCAGTCCCGGCAAGGGATCATTAGGCAAGGCATAAGGCTCAGGCTGACTGAAGATTGATCAGCTAGAAACTGTCAAGGAATGTCCTGCTTCAGACTTACTGGAAGTTGTGTCTGGGTCTAATTCAGGCATTTACAAAGTCTCCTTTACTGAAACCATCAAGTTTTAAGATTAACACTACAGAGAAGTTCCAGGCTACATTTTAACTGGAAAAAAGATCAGTTCAGCCTATCACACCAAATAGTTACTGTCCAACAGACTTCCTCTCCTATTTGCTGAAAAATATCCCCAGTGTGTAGGGCTATAAAATTTTCCTGGATAAGGTCTCTACATTTAATTAGCTTTTTTTATACCCCCACCACCACTCCCTACCCATTTCCTAGTAATTTTCTGAAGTGATCTGTGTTTGGAAAACCCAATGAGCTCATCTCCTTCTGAGCAATGCATGCCTTAGTATGTAAGGATGGCAGAATGTTTGAATGTTAAGTTACCTGGAAAAAAAACCCCAAAACCCTCTTTCCTGGCAAGTTGCAAGTTGGTGTCACTGACCTAGAAAGAGTCAAGTTTAAAGGAGTGTTCTGGAGTAGCCCTTTACCTGAACAGGTTTTCTTATCTGCATTCAGGCTGTAGCCTTCAAAGCACTCACAATGATAGGCCCCAGCTCCATCGTTCACACAAATGTGCTGACAGCCAAGTGTACCCAATGCACATTTGTCTTGAGCTGCCAAACAAAAGTCCAGGAGAAAAGAAATAAAAAGTAAAAGGTCTTTTTATTATAGATAGAAACATTCTTAGAAATGTCCTTATTTGCAGCTAGAAATATAGAAAAGGAAAAACCTACTGGAGGCTAGTCAAAGCTAGCCTAACTAGAAGTGGACTGAGTTAAGCAAAATTCCTGCATGCACAACCTTCTTCAATTTCATTTCAAAATCATCAACAGCTGGGCACCAGTGGCTCACACCTATAATCCTAGCTACTCAGGAGGCTGAGGTCTGAGAATCGCGGTTCAAAGCCAGTCCAGGCAGGAAAGTCTGTGAGACTCTTATCTCCAATTAACCACTAGAATACCAGAAGTAGCACTATGGCTCAAGTGGTAGAGCACTTGCCTTGAACTGAAGAGCTCAGGGACAGCTCTCAGGCCAAGAGTTCAAGCCCCATGACCACCACCAACAACAACAACAAAAAAATCAACATAGGGTTTTTATAATGTAAGTAGGTCATAAATAAATTCCTTTTAGGTTTGCTGTACTTAGAGAGATAACAGCAGTGATGTGGTTAATTACACTAGGCTTGGCAAAGCACAGAATTTGAGCATGCAGAACGTGTAGGTCAAACCTCTCCTGTTTTACAAATGGAGAAAATGAGCCTGGAGGAGACCAATGGATACAGGGCAGCATCTGAACTAAAGGCTCAAATTGTCACTCAATGCCCTTCCCACTGTACTAATATATTCAACTGTACTAATATGTTGCAAAACTGTCTTCATTTGAAATTTTTGAACTTTTTATTTTGAGACAATTTCAGGTTTGTAAAAAAGCTTGCAAAAAAGAGAATTTATAACAACAAATATTACTTTAGCATGATTATGAAAAACATGGATACAATATGATTTACAAATCTATACACCTAATTCAAATTTCACTGATATTTCACAAATGTCCTTTTTCCTGGTCCAGGATTGGACTTGCTTTAAGCTAGTCTTCTCACATGCAGGCCATGTGCTCAATCCTTGTATTTAGTGTGTGTGTAAAACTTGTGCGGTCCTAAAACTTGAACTCAAGGCCTCAGTGCTGTCCCTGAGCTTTTTTGCTCGAGGCTGCCACTTTACCACTTCAGCTACAGCTCCACTTCCAGTTTTTTTGATGATTAATTGGAGATGAGAGTCTCATAGATTTTCCTGCCCAGGCTGGCCTTGAACCTCAATCCTTACATTTCAGCTTTCTGAGTAGCTAGGATTACAGGCATGAGCCTGTAAGAAATAATAACAACTCCGCCGGGCGCTAGTGGCTCACACTTGTAATCCTAGCTACTCAGGAGGCTGAGATCTAAGGATTGTGGTTCAAAGCCAGCCCAGGAAAGAAAGTCGGTGAGACTCTTACCTACAATAAACTACTAGAAAACCAGAAATGGCACTGTGGCTCAAGTGGTAGAGCACTAGTCTTGAGCCAAAGAGCTGAGAAACAGCGCCCAGGCCCAGAGTTCAAGCCTCACAACCAACAAAAAAAAAAAGTACTGTAAAATTATTTTTTAATAAAAATTTTTCTCTATTTGTGTTTTGTCTGAGCTTCCTCATGATCCCAGCACTAGCTATCGCTCAGCCATGCTATCATGTCCTCAGTGAGGCACGTAGCCATACACGATGTCACTTTCGTGGTAGGATTTGATCTTTTTGATCCCTTGGATAAGGTACTATCTACCTGGTTCTCCTTATCTTTGTAAACAATAAGTCCTTTGTGGGGGGGGTGGGTAATTGCTACTAAATTACCACATTGTCTGAGCATTTGGAAGGACCAGGAAGGCTGAGAGGAAAGGAGCCAACACACATTGACACATTCATGTGATTATTCATAACTGTTCAAACGAAACTTAGAAATGGGAAAACACAATCAAAAACAAAACAAAAATACATTTTAAAAAAGGAAAGAAAGAGAGAGAGAAAGAAAGAAAGAAGGAAAGAAAGAAAGAAATAGAAAGAGAGAGAGAGAGAGGGAGGGTGGAAGGGAGGGAGGAAGGAAGGACTCAAGTTTGGCAAGGGAGAAAAACAGACCACATTCCCAGCCCATGTGGCCTGTCTTTCCAACACTGGGTGGGTAGGTAAGTAGGTGGGTGGGTAGGTAGGCAGACAAGCCCACTCACCTGAACATGTTTTCCTGTCAGCATTCAGGGTATAACCTTCATGGCACTCGCAGTGGTAAGAGCCGCTTCTCTCATTCACACAGATATGTTCACACCCGTGAGTGCTAAGGGCACACTTATCAATAGCTATCAAAAGATGAATAGGAAAAATATGAGCACATGGAAAATAGATGATAAATCATTGCAGGCCACATTTCTTACACACACACACACACACACACACACACACAGCTGATGAAGGGAGCAGATCACAGTGGAGGGCAGGGATTGTCTGGGATTGTTTCCTTCACTCACAGACTCGCCGAATGTGTGTACATCTTTTCCCTTCTTTGCATCTCAGTTTTATTTTATATAATGTGGGTAGGTTGCGTTAAATAATCTCTTTTTTTTTGCCAGTCCTAGAACTTGAACTCAGGGCCTGGGCACTGTCCCTGAGCTTCTTTTTTGCTCAAGGCTAGCACTCTACCACTTGAGCCACAGTGCCATTTCTGGCTTTTTCTGTTTACATGGTACTGAGAAATCAAACCCAGGGCTTCATGCATGCTAGGCAAGCAAGCACTCTACCACCAAGCCACATTCCCAGCCCGTATTAAATAATCTTTATGTTTTCATTCTTTCGGAAACTCTTTTCTAGGGTAAAAATATAGAAAGCTGGTGCTAGAGGCATATGGCTCAGTTGGTAGAGTGCTACCCAATGAGCAAAAGTGAAGTGTCAAGTGTTGAGTCTGAGTCTCAGCCTCAGTCAGCCCCCTACCGCCCCCCCAAAAAAAGAAAAGAAAACCTAATTCCCATTCTTGGTTGACTCTGTGTGAGAATTCATGAGCCACGAGCAAGGACCTCCCTAATTGTCCCTCTACTTTGAAGGTCCATGTGGATGTACGTTCACAGAGAACAGGTGATGCTTATATCTCATTAAATAAAACTCAGGAAAGATGCCAACTCCTCAAGAGGATGAAGACTCTCAGATGCTCTTCACCTCCTCTCCCACTAACACTCTTCCTTTCTTACTTAAGGCTCATGCTAGGCTAAGGTATTATCTCACTTTGCTCCCATGTTCCTTCCATGGAAAATTGTTAATGAACAATCAATCAGAAAAAGGCATTTAGATTAAAAAGAGACTGAGTGAAATCATAAGGCCAGCCCCACCCCTGGAGAGAAGGCCCCCAAATAATTCCAAGTGAGCCACAGTCCCCTGTGTAGGCCCCACCTGAACAGGTTTTCCTATCCACGTTCAGGGTGTATCCCTGGCTACACTCGCAGTGGTGCTTTCCATCCCCATCGCTGATGCACACGTGCTGGCACTGGTGTGTACCAAGCACGCACGGGTCCACAGCTGTGCAAAGGAAGGGTACAGGAAGAGGCATTAACACATTTGAAAGTTGACATACTTTCTCCCATTCAGAAAGACATTGCTCTCCGACTCCCTTCTGACTCTTATTATTCACTATAGAAAATAGCTATTTGTCTGCGCCCTGGTGACGTACACCTGTAATCCTAGCTCAGGAGTTGTAATCTTGTAATCTTAGCCTCAGGAGGCTGAGATCTGAGATTAAAAACCAGGCTGGCAGGGAAGTCTGTGAGACTCTTATCTTTAATTAACCACCAGAAGTGGAGCTGTAGTTCTAAGTGGAAGAGTGCTAGCCTTGAGCAAAAAGGCTCAGGGACAATGTCCAAACCATGAGTTCAAATCCTATGATCAACAACAAAAAGAAATTAGCTATTTGTTTTCTGCCTCTGGTTTATTAGGATTTCTAGTACTTGTATACAGGAAATGTCACTACAAGTATAGATCTTTCTGTAAATTTTCTCAAAGGAAATAGTGAATTTTGGATTTGGAGTAGCTGAAGCCAACCTCTTCCATTGGTCAGGCCACTTGATGTTTATTTAGCTTATTCACATATCCACAAAAAAAAATTTTTTTTGCTGACAAAATAATGGCATTTGCAGGGAAATGGATGGAGCTAGAAGGAATCATGTTGAGCGAGGTAAGCCAAGAACGAAGAGACAAACGGTACATGGTCTCCCTGATAAGTGGATGCTAAATCCAAAATGTTAGGTGATATGCCAAAACTAACAGGACTTAAGAAACAAAGAACTCCCACTCATCTGGTTGAACCACTACTAAATATCCCCATGCTGCTGATCACATATATGGTATATAACATGTGAACACCATTATATATTACAGACTGTGATAGACAATTTGCTCCAGGAAAGTTAGAATGAACTTGTGACTTTAAATGAGCATCATTATTCCACAATACTGTGTATTTCCGGAAATTATGTAATCACTTAATCACAATAAAAAAAAAAAGAACCTCGGGGAAGGGAGGGAGGGAGGGGATGGTAGGGGGAAAACAATGGAGGGGGTAACAATGTTCAAGAGGAAGTGTACTCATTACCTCACTCATATAACTGTAACCCTCTGTATAGTATCTTTACAATAAAAAAAAAAAATTTTTTTTTTTGCTTCCTAACCATGAGAAATGGGAGATGAGTAATGTAGAATACACTGTCTCAAGTGCTGTGAGTGAGTGAGTCAGTGAGCGTGATCCCACTGCAGCCAGAACAGGGTAGGGTTGCCAAGGTTTCTATATTTTGGGCCTGAGTAGAATTTACATGCAGCACGCATATTTCAGCCTGGAGCTCACTCACACTTGAGCTGTGTTCCCTATTTTGAATATGCAAATAATGAAAGGCAATTCAGGTAACATGCTTTTGCATATGCACCATGGGTTCTTGAGCACAGGAATCTGTGTATGCAACTTGGGGTGCTAATATCTACAAGGACAGTGACCTTGCATGCTAAATATAAACAGGTAAAAAGGACAAATAAGAGGCTCAGTCAGGGAAGGAGAGGAAGAGAGTTCTTCTGATTAAAATAGAATATATTCATATCTGAACCATCATGGTGAAAACCCTTGATACAATGCATACACATAAAAAAGAAAAAAGAATAATATGAAATTAAAACAGGTTCTGGTAGGGGTGGATATCATCGAGTGAAGGGAGGACAAAGAGAAGATAAATGAGGGTGAATGTGGCCAATGGAGGTTTGTAGCATTGCGAAAATAGATTTAGAAACCTTGAAATTGATTTAGAAGTGAGGAGAGGTAAGGGAGACCGATGGAAGAGGTAAACTGAATTGAGATATATTATGGATACCTATGGAAATATCACAATCGTATGCTATCAAAGATTTTAAAAGGCAAACACAGTCATAATATTCCATGTACGTATGTAAAAAATGGAACTCTAGGTTACTTTGGGAGAAATGGGGAGAACAATGGACTGACTTTAGTCAAAATGCCTTATACTCATAAACTGACCAGTTGAATTGAAACTTCATACAACCACATAAATTTAAATATATATATATATATATATATATATATATATATATATGAAAGAAAGGAAACAAGGGAGGAAGGGAGGGTTGGAGGCAGGGAGGTAGGGAGGAAAGAGTAAGGGAGGGAGAAAGAGAAACCAAGCAAGAAAAAAGGAGGGAGGGAGGGTAGGTGGAAGAAGGAAGGAAGGAAGGAAGGAAGGAAGGAAGGAAGGAAGGAAGGAAGGAAGGAAAAAGGAAGGAAGGAAGGAAGGAAAGAAAGAAAGAAAGAAAAGAAAGAGGAAGGAAGGAAGGAAGGAAGAAGGAAGGAAGGAAGGAAAGAAGGAAGGAAGAAAAGAAGGAAGGAAAAAAAGAAAAGAAAGAAAGATGTGATTACATCAGCTAAACTGTGTCTCCATCTTTTGATCCCAGGAACCACTTATATCTGACTGGACTTTTTATTTCCAAGTGATGTGTTTTCAAAGAAGAATCAATGAATTCAGTCATCTCTCAGACACCAAGGAGGCCTGTTAGAGGAGGCTGGGCACTGGGGTGGCGGGTATCCCAGCCTCCATTGCCCTTGGCAACAAGACAATACTAACATTTTCCCAAGAAGGCCCTTTTCATGGAATGATCATTCCAACCTGTTGGCTCCAACAAGCTGCCCCTCAGTCTTTCCTCCATAGAGAAGGCATTTTCCCCCAGACAGGGAGGTCTTTTGTATAAAGAGGTAGCGATTTGCCACCCACCACTTGTTATTTCGTGGTATTCAAGCCCAGCCCTAGGTGCTACCCTTAACACCCAACTTTGCCACAGACCCGAGTCCTGATGGAACTTCTCTCACCCACAAGCTTGAGGGCTTTTTCTAGGAGAAAGAAAGTCACTTTCTCTTTTGGAGCCCAATAAATTCCTGGTAGATTCCACCAAAGCCAAAGCCATTATAGGTAGGCCCCGTGTCCTGGGACAGGAAAGGTTAGAGGATTCGAGCCAGGTCTGGCTGAGATGAGGCCACTCTTGGCAGACAAATTTCTGTCTCCCATTTCCCCACCAACTGGTGATTTCTGGGTTCACATTCATTTAGATATAAAGTCTCCTTGAATTTAAGTTGTAGTTATTGGCTCCCTGGCTTGTCTCGCCCTTAACCTAGAATGTTACTTAAGGGTTGGGACTACTTTTCTGTGTCATTAGTGATCCGTAAATGCATGTGGAATAAACAGCTGTGAAATGTGCTATGCAAGAAAAAGCTATTGCTGGGGTTTGGTGGCTCGTGCCTGTAATCCTAACAACTCAGGAGGATTACAGTTCAAAATTAGCTAGAGCAGAAAAAGGTATCTATGTTTAGAAATTCATCTAAAGCCCACTTTTGTCCCTACTTGTTTAGATATTCCCTAATGGGCTTCAAAAGGTAACCTTCAAATGACAAAAAAGAAATCAAATCATAATTCTACAAATCATAATTCTAATACTAGACAAAAATTTAACCCTAGCACAAGATAGATTTGTACTGCCAGATCTCCTTAATTTCATGCTAAAAAACTGTAGTGAAATTAGCATGTTTGCATTTAAATTCCATCTTAAAGAAGGAACAGTGTAGAAGAGTAACAAGGGTTGGTTGCTTTTTCATCTGCTTCTGTATCTCACAACTGAACCCAAACTCAATCTTCCCAGTCCCTAATTCAATTCTATAAAGAATTGAGAAACAGTCTAATCCAAAATTGAGTATTCCCTAGGCTAAAGACACCATGAATTGGGCCTGCCTGCCACCGCCTTCTATAGAACAAATAGAGTCCTGTTAGGTCTAGAGATGGTAAAGCTAAATACATAGAGAGCTATATATAGAAAGAGATAGATATAGATATAGATAGATATAGATCTGAGGAATGTGTGGTGTGGGATAGAAGACAAGAGAGATGTCTTCAATTTGAGTGTTTGGGAGTTACTTTTATTCTTTCTCTCTTTTTATTCCCCCTGACTCCCATCAAGGACACGCAGGATTATTTATCTTGGGTATTTCCTGGCCTTCACATTTCTAATGAAAACATGAAGATTTTTATGAGCAAACCAAGTTATATACAGTGCACCTTTATATTTCCAAACCCATGCCGTGGGCTTCAGTTGGTTTTTAAAAAACAAACAAACAAAAGACACCAAAAAAAAAAAAAAAAGCACTGCATGTATTTAAATCTGCCCTAAGACTTCTACCCAAAACAAAACAACACAAAAAGAACGAATCTCCTTTTCTGGACACCCAAGGTCTGAACTAGAGCGCGCTTTCTAGTCGGAAGGAGAGCGCCACCAACTCACCACAGAAGGTCTCCTGGAATCTGGAGGACAGCTTCTCGATGACCCCGTAGGTCTCCACGTAGAAGACATGCTCATCCAGAGGCTCGCTGGCCATCATCCTGAGGGACTCCAGGTCTGCCCGGTCCACGCCCACGGCGTAGAGCTCGATGCCCGCGGCCCGCGCCCGGGCCGCCACCTCGTTCACTTGGTCCTGGGGCCTCCCGTCGGTCACGATGATGGCCACTTTGGGGATGTTGGAGCCGGGTCCCCGAGCTCCTGCTGCCACGGTGAACGCTTCGTCCATCGCCGTCTGGATGGCCAGCCCGGACATGGTGCCTGTGGATAGCGGGCGGACCCGCGCCACGGCCTGTTTCAGGGACCGCTTATCGGAGTAGGTCTGCAGCTGAAACTCGATTTTCACCGTGCTGGCGTAGTTCACCACGGCCACCCGCGTGTCGGACGCGCCGATGTCCAGGGTGTCGATGATCCGGGACACGAAGGTTTTCACTTTGGTGAACTCCAGGGGCCGGACGCTACGAGAACTATCGATGATAAACACCAAGTCCAGAGGCCTGGTCTTGCAAACCCCTGCCGAGGAAGATGTGGGGGGCACACGATCAGACCTCACCTGGAAAGGGCAGGTGATCTTTACTCCCAGGGAACGAACCCTGGGATCCAGGAGACCGGGCAGAATGCAGGTTACTATTTCTAATGCTCCTTCTGCCTGTTTTCTTACCCAAACTCAAACCCTCCCTTGCGGGTGTTAAAAACACCAAAGCCAGAAAAGTGCTGGTGACTCAGGCCTGTCATCCTAGCTATTCAGGAGCCTTGAGATCTGAGGATCTCAGTGTGAAGCCAATGGGAGCAGGAAAGTCCCTAAGACTCTTACCTCCAATTAATCACCAAAAAGCTGGAAGTGGAGCTGTGGCTCAAGTGGTAGAGTGCTGGCCTTGAGCAAAAAGAGCTCAGGGATAGTGCCCAGGCCCTGAGTTCAAGCCCCAGGATAGGTACAAGATAAAATAAAACAAACAAGCAAACAAAGAAAAACACCAAAAGCCTTCAGTTTCCTATAGTGAGGATTCACATGCATGCAGCTTGCCCAAATACCTCACCTTCATGTTGGCTGAGCACAAAAATTTGCCTAGAGCCCTGTCCTGAGGCTTGATGTTTTACTTCCAAGGTCTTCACAAACTGCAAGACTGAATGGCTCCCAGTCTTTTCTTCTTGGCTTCTTTCTACCTTGGCTCTCCGAGGCAAGGAGGGGTGGGGAGTGGGTAAAAATTTAATGTGACATGTGTCTATTGCACCTCTAACCTTGAGGGCATCTCTTGTTTTAAGGAGCAGACTCTGACCTGTGTGTCTGGCCTGCTGCCCTATCCAATTCTCTTAGCCAGCTCTCTCTCTCTTTCACTCATTCACCAGTTTCTGAGGGAATAGCTGTACAGCCCCTCCCTCGGGCCCCCATCTCCCCCCTCCCCCCAAGGCACCTACATCTTTTCTGCATAGAAGAATCTGGCACCACACTGCAGCAACACATTACGTTTTAGTTTCTTTAGTTTCTTTCTCAGCCTTTCCTGTTTCCTTCCACCTGACTTACACAACCCCTGTCTCAGTCACCAAAATCCCTCCTACAAGTCAAGGCTAGATGCAAAAGAAGCCAGTTATCATACTTCATTTTAAGGCCATTCCCCCTTTCTGACCAACATATGTACGTATCACACACATGTACACACACACATACACACACACACACATATCATAGGCATGGTCCTACCTAACTAGAAAAGGAGTCCTAAGGAGATGTCCATATGAACTCTTAATGAAAGAACAGACATTGATACTATTTGAAGCAGGAGATTTTCACAGTAAACAGGGAGAAGGCAGATTAAAAAAAACAACCAAATTCTTAGGCTAAGCTATTTATGAAAGAAAAAGTCTTGTCTGGAATCAGGTTTATACCACTTATGGTTGTCTTTCAAAAGCTGAACTGTATCCTCTTGGTTTTATTCCACTGCCCTGGAGAACACCTTAGGATATCACCTTAGCCAGCACAAATGGCTCTAGTCTATTATCCTAGCTGCTCCAGAGACAGATTGGGAGGATCATGATTCCAGGCTAGTGCAAGCAGAAAACCTCACAAGACCCCTTCTCAACTTAGAGCTGGGCTTGATGACACGATCCTGCTGTGCCAGCTATGATGGGAAGCCTAAAATAGGGAGATCAAGCAAGGCCCAGTCACCTGCCCCCCCCACCCTCCCCACAGAATTCAAGATCCTATCTCAAAAACAATGTTTTAAAAAAATAGGCTGAGGTATGGCTTAAAGGTAGAAGCACTTGCCTAGCAAGCTCAAGTTCAAATCCTAGTAGTACTACAAAAGAAGAAGAAGAAGAAGAAAGAGGAGGGAGAGGAAGAGGAGGAGGAAGATAAGAAGGAAGAGGAGGAGGAAGAAGAGGAGGAGGAAGAAGAGGAGAAAGGGAGAGAGGGAGGGAGGGGAGGAGGAAGAGGGAGGTCTCAGTTTCAATGTCACTATAGTGATCTCAGATGCCAATTTTCAAAAGCACCCTGTGAGGGAGAAAGTGAACAGGTTGTTTTCATTCCCATCTAACAGCAGATATACCTAGTGTTCAGGAAGGAGAAAGAACTAAAAAGTGATTAGATGTGGTCACACTCCAGGCTTCTTGACTTCTAAAGCCTTGGGCTTTTCTGAAGCATCATGCTGCCCTTTGTGAAGCAACATTTTCCACCACAAAAATCAACATTATCTCATGTGTCCATAAAAGTCCTAAGGGATGACTTTGAGCCACTAGCCTGCAATATGCCATATATCATCTATTTAGTTAAGTCAAAAAGAATTACAAATCTCTCTTTTTTTAAAACAACTCCAGAATGTCAGGGAATCCCTTAAGATTCCTGGGGATTAGAAACAAGGAAGATCTAGTGTAGAAAGTCTTGTCCAGATGTGAGTCTAAATATATTTTTTCATGTTTAGAGTAAAAAGAAAAACCAGTGGCTCACGCCTGTAATGCTAACTACTCAGGAGGCTGAGATCTGAGGATTTCAGTTTGAAGCCAGCCTGGGCAGGAAAATCTATAAGACTCTTATCTCCAATTAATTTCCAAAACGCTGGAAGTAGAGCTGCTAGGGCTAAACACTAGACCTGAGCAACGAAGCTCAGGGCAGTGTCCAGGCCCTGAGTCCAAGCCCAGTACCATCACAGATACACACACACAAAAGGAAAAATAGAAACATGGGAGTTTTTTGGGAGGGGGAAGAGCAACAAAGGGAGGAACACACAAGAGGAGGGAGGAAGAGTGAGCAAATATAGTCATTATATTCATTGTACACTATGTAAAAATGAAACTAGGTGACGAGGGTAGGGATGAGAGGAAGAGAAATGGAAGTGGTTAGGATGCATTATACTCAACCCCATGTACAGAGTGGTAACCTCTTTTTGTAACTACTTAATTAAAAAATAAAAAAGAACAAAACAACAGGGTGATAGGAATCTGTAACCGACTATGCTTTTGCTGACACCCAAATGGCAGCCTTACAAATCATAGCTCTATGTCCTTGCTAAATGTGCTGTGATTCCTTACACTGAAACTGAGCTAGCCAGCTTCCTTCCTTCTCTACTCCGCTTTTCACACTGAATCCTATTCAGGTGGACAAGGGGACAGGATCTGTGGTTGGCAAAATAATGTCCCCCTCTCGTCCCCCACAAAGATGTCCCAACCTAACCACAGTAATGTGCGCATATGCTACTTTGTGAGAAAGAAGTAACTTGACCGTTAAAAACCTTAAGGTGGGGACATAATTCTGGATGATCTGAGTGGATCCAATGTAATTATAAAAACCCAAGGGGAAAAGGGCAACAGAAAAGGGTCAAATGTTAAGCTGTGCTGGGTGCTGGTGTTGTTTTAAGCTACTAAATTCATGGTCATTTGTTATAGCAGCAATAGGGGTAAGGCCCAGGATGCTAGGCAATTCTGTGACCATCTGGTGCCTTGAACCCCTTCAGCAAAGGGCACTAATAGTGTTTCAGATCTCACTACCAAATAGCAGCCATTGGCTCTCAAGAAAAACTGAAAAGGTTTTTCTTGTTGTTGTTTTGCTAGTACTGGGGTTTGAACTCAGAGCCTAGCCCTCACTTGGCTTGCTTGTTCATGGCTGGTGCTCTGTCACTTAAGCCACATCTCTAAGCCCTGTTTTTTGCTAGTTTAGAGATGGAGTCTCTCAGACTTTTCTACCCAGCTTGGATTCAAACCTGGACCCTCCAGAAGTCAGCCTTTGGGGGTAGCTAGGATTTCAGGCTCAAGCGACCTGGCACCCAGCCAACTGCCAATTTTTAGTCTTGCTAGAAATAAAAGCCTGAAGAACACTCAACAATTAAAAACAAAAATGGGAAATGTAGAGCATGTAGATGGTGTTTATTAAGGAATTACTACTCCAGATCAGGTGTGGGTGTCAGGTAGCAAAGAACAGGTACAGCTTAGAAGAAACATGGTCTCCCCTACAGAATCTCAACTCCATCTCCCGGTCCCCTCCTTAAGAAAGGTGGGTGAGGACTGGAGGTAAGTCCAGTTCTGGGGGAAAAGCAGGCTGCCCTCTCTCCCCCACTATTTCTAACTAAGAACATCGTACATCTTACTAGCTACCAGCTTAACCCCTGTGAACCCTGACCCTGCCTGCTTTCATGGCATGCATTCACTATTTCCAGATTTACCATTTCAAATACTGGGGTGTGACAGCAAAGAGTCCCTTGAGGTCTATAGATTCAGGAAAGTGCAGGAGAAAAGAAACAATGGAAACCAACCAGACAAAGTTGATGGTCAGATGAGAATAGGTGCCACACAGAGAAAATGGTTTTGTTCAACTTTTCTCGAGCAAGACCCAGGCTAAACTTTGGGAAAGGAAGATAAAATTGCATAAGCCCTATGCATGGTAAGCTGGTGTGGTGGAAATCTTGCTTAAGGTTTCCTGGAGTTTATTCTGGGCGGAGACACTGATTTGCTGGGTGCCTTGACTTTGGTAAACCTGGGGCTTTTTGCAAACTCCAAGGTATCTTAGGTCTTGGGAGATCTAAGTAAGCATGGGTTGGGGTGTATGGGGCCCAGTCAGCTAAGCAGAACCCCCAGAAGAGGGGTTCTGATACAGGGTGGTTACAGGCCAGGTCCCAGCCATCCAGAAGGCAGCTGGGGTTTCCTTCACGCTTCCTACTGACTTTCTCCTCTGCCAGGTCCTGGGTTCTAAGGCCGCCTCGGGAACCAAGGAGGAGAGGAGAAAGCCTTGCACACGCTGACAGCGGGCTGTGGAAAGGACTACAAGTGAGGTCTCTGAAAAGGTGTGCTTCGCTGAACCACGAGAAGAGGACCAGGGCAGGGCCGAGAGGCATTCGGAGTGGGGTCGGCCCAAGTCATGGACCAAGGCGGGGGAGGGGGGAGACCCAAATGCTAGCCCGGACATCTCAGTGGGCATCTCCCTGTCTTTCTCTGAACCCCACTTTCCACCGGGGGGGGAGGCAGGGCGGGGAGGAGATTCTTTCTGCAGAACCACATCCGAGATGTAGAACGTCTGATGGATGTCAGAGGCTCCCCAGCCGCCCCGGTACAGCCTCGCCACCCATCTTCTTCATGCTCTGGGCCCCCTGCCCGACCTTACCTGGCCCTTGGGTGGCCCCGGCATGGGGTGCGCTGGTGGGAGCAGGGCTGCGCCCGGGACTGCCGCCGGGGCCTCGGATCTCCGGCCTCCGGATGCGGATGCCCGGGCGGTCCAAAGGGCCGGGGGCAGCCGGAGGCGGCAGCAACAGCAGCAGCAGCGACCAGAGCAGCGGGAGTCCCCGGAGGCAGCACACGGGGGTCAGGCGCGACATGGCGGGCGCGGGGGGCTGGCGGGGACCTGTCCGCTGCGTGGCGATCTGGACCCACTAGGTCAGTCCCGGACCTGAGCCGGCCGAGGTGGCCCATTTAAAGGTCCCGCGTCGCCGGCCCCGCCCCTCTCTGGCCAGCAGCCCCGGGCCCGCCCCAGGCCAACGCCGAGCCCCAGTCCGCACATTCCAGCGGCCCGGCGGCACGTCTGGGGCCCGGCGGCCAGCCGCGTGGTGGTAGCCGCCAGCCCTGACTGGCGTCCCCCCCGCGTCCTCCGCGGCCGGTGGGCTTGGCTGGCTGCCTCCCTCTTCGAAAGACCCCGAGCACTGGCACCTATAGGCCCGCAGCCCGCTGGGTCCCTCCTAGCCTTCCAGTTAGGGAGCCCCGGGACTCCCCCCCCCCCCCCCCCAGCACTGAGCAGGCCCGGCTCAGGGCTAGAGGAAGCCTCGCTCCCCACGTTCACATCCCCTTCTCTCCAGACAACACAGGAAGGAGCGACGGGAGAGGGACAGGCTCGCAGATTCTAGCAGCATGAATGGAGAACTTTCATCCCCGTCTCAAACATCCACAAACATTTGATTTTCTATGACCAGAAATAGAAAACCAAACATACATCTCTCCCAGAGAGCGCCCCCCACCCCCGTCAGCCAGAACTGCCTGTCCCCAAAGTCACTTCAAAAGGCTCACCCTATATTCCACCTCCTCTCCGGAAGTGCGGGGGGCAGCAGCACAGGACACGGATCGCCCCCAGAGGACCCTCAAGGAGCTCCCACAGTGGCAGGGAGATGGGGGACCTGTCTAAGGAGAGGCCCCGTGTGAAGCAGCAGATTTCCAAAACCAGGGGCTGCACCGGTGACCATGAGCTTCAATTCCAACACACCCAATAGGGCTCTCTTACTTCTCACTGGCTTTTCAGTCTATCCACGTTGTAATCTGAAAATCATCTTGTATTTATGTACCATGTTCCTAGCAGGCCATAATACACTAGCCAAGCAGCAGAAACGACCGTTATGCCTCTTTGGATGAATTGGTATACAAAATGTGGTATTTACAAGAAGTATTCTGCCTTAAAAAGGTAATTCTAGCCAGGCACCAGTGACTCACCTGTAATCCTAACTACTCAGGAGGCTGAGATCTGAAGATTGAGGTTCAAAGTCAGCCCGGCCAGGAAAGTCTTTGAGACTCTTATCTCCAATTAACCACTAGAAAAAAAAAAAAAAAAAAAAAAAAAACTGGAAGTGGCACTGTGGCTCAAGTGGTAGAGTGCTCACTTTGAGCTGAAGAGCTGAGGGACAGTGTCCAGGCCCAGAGTTCAACCCCATGACCAACCCACACCCTCCCCCTACCCCCCCCCCCCACACACAGAGGTAATTCAAACACATTACAATATGGATGAACCTTTAGACATGATGCTAACTGACATAAACCAGTCACAACAAAAAGAGATATGTATGGGATATCTTGAGTAAGATCATTTTTTTTAAGACATAAACTAGAAGGGTGGTTCCCAGTGAGTGGAGGAAACAGGGATTAAGAGCTGTTGCTTAGTTTGAGTTTTGTGAAATCAAAATTTTTTTTAAATTTGTTGGATATGTTAAAAAAATTTTAAAGATTAGTTGTATAGTTTGTTATATAGCCCCCTCCTTCAAAAGTGCAAGTGTTGGAAACAATTCTCTAACATCATTTGCTGATATGTAGAAGTGGAGCTGCTGAGAGATACTGGATGAGGTCCTGAGGGTGTTGTGCTAAGCACCACACTAGTCTTCTAAGCAAGAGACCCAAATGAGATTGAGTGGGATTGCTTGCTGTGTCTCGCCATGTGATACCCACTTGAGTCCAAACATCAGGATGAGAGTTGTCTGCACTGACTGCTACCCAGTTCTGAGACAGACTGGTTTACCCCATGCAGGCATCCTGTCCTGGAGAGGACTAAGACACTAGGAAGCTTCTAGAACAAGGCTAGTGCTGAGCTTTGCAATGGCAAGGTGGTAAAAAGCCAGGATAGGTTGTTTGCAGAAGGCACAGCCTGGCACTGCTTTTTCAAGAGTCAAATGCTGCCGAGGAAAGGCTTTGCTTGGTTTCATTTCACTGACTGACAACAGACTGCTGTACCCTGGGCACTGTTCCAGAGGTCTTGCCTTGGCCTTCTCTAGCAGGGGGACTGGGTTCTCGGCCACCTGAGGCTTCATCGATGAGGGAGCTTGGGGAAATAGCAACATCAGAAACCATGGTTTGGCTCAGCATGCCAGCATCATCGTAAGAATATTAAACCAAGGCTTAAGGAATCAATTACAGGTAGCTTTTCTTAAAAAAAAAAAACACTTGAATATTGCTATATTGCTTTTATGGTCCTAAAATTTCTTCAAGCTAAGCATCACAACTCATGCCTACAACCCTAACTACTCCAGAAGTTGACATCAGGACCACCACAACTCAAGGCCAACTGGGGCAAAAAGTTCCCAAGAAGAGGTTTTTGGCATCACCTAACTAGATGATGACAGATACAAAAACCCTAACAGACAAGAAACAAAGTCCCTCTTTCATTGATTTCCAGGTCAAATATTCTATTCCTCTTTTCTTCCTTTCTCAGGCCCTGGCTTCCTCTCACATACCTCATAACATTTACACAGGGATTTATAGTTTGTTACCTCACTTGATCCTATGAACAAAAAGAAGCACATGCATTGGGGATTTGCATCTTCATGAAATGCAGAACTGAATCAAGTTCATTTCACAGATAAACTTCACAGGGTCCGTCTCCATCTGGTATGAATAAGCATCCTAATTTCAATTCAAATCCTAAAATCTTGGGCTCACTGGCAGTCACCATGCTGCTGGAATTCCACATTATTTGGGAACATTCACCTTGATTCTAAATTATTTCCTCCTAACCAGAAAAGCATGATTTTTACAGAAAACAAGCAATGACAGAAAAGCAGATACAGCTTTTTCTTTCGGCCAATTTTTTGAGCTTATTTATATGTTCCTGCCTTCAAAGTAAAAGAAATCCTGAAAACGGACCATTGATCTGTTGCCTACCAGATCCATTAGAATAATTAGATTCAGAGCAAAGTAAGCTCTATGATGAATGGGAACACATGAGTCATTGATGGAAAACATTATTACACCACTGCCACCAAAGAGAAGAAAATACTTTCTCAATGGAAGCTTTCTTGGTTTTGTAAGAACTTCAACTGTTACATGTAGTGTTTTGTGCTGGTGTATTCCCAAGTTTTATTGCAAGAAGAGTGGTACTGTACAGCCATAATTCCAATGCTTGGGAGTTTGAACTTCAAAATGAAACCCTATATTAAAATACAAAAGTACCAAGCAGGGTGCCAGTGGCTCGTGCCTATAATCCTAACTACACAGGAGGCTGAGATCTGAGAATTGCAGTTTGAAGCCAGCCCAGGCAAAGTCCCTGTGAGACTCTCATGTCCAATTAACCACTAGAAAACCGAAGTAGTGCTGTGGCTCAAGTGGTAGAGTGCTAGCCTTGAAAACAAAGAGGCTCAGGGACAATGCCCAGGCTCTGAGTTCAAGCCCCACAACCAAAAATAAAAACCCAAAAAACAAATCCATCAGCAATGTAAATTGTGGAGGCAAATTCTTAAGTCCCTTCCACCCATAATTTTTGTGCAGTCGAAGCTAAATGTTCCAAATGAAAAAAGTAGTGTATATTTCCAAGTACAGGGACCTGAGACAGATTGTACACATGCTGTTAATACAGCTGCGTCCGAAATCTGCTTGAAAACTGAAGATAACTAGTAAGCATATTGCCAGACACACTTCCTTCTTACATGTAAAGCTTATTGGCTCTGGTTGGTTTTACAAGTGGTGAAAGGTGAGTTTACAATCCAACAATTCTTTGAAAGATGTGTGAAATACATCCATAGGTCTTACATGGTGTAAATGAAGCTACCACTGCTGCATTCATCACAAGAATTCACAAGAACTGTGGTTCCTGCCAAGTTTCAGCATGCCAATTTCCCATCCCTTCCCTTTAAAAACTATGTATGTGCCTAGCACCAAAGCTTTATGCCCATAACCCGTCACTCAAGAGGCTGCTCTAAGGCAGCCTGGGCAGAAAAGTCCAGGAGACTATCTCCAAAATAACCAGCAAAAAGCAAAGCTAGAGATCTGGCTTAAGCAAACTATACTCCTCATGCTGCTTGTCAGCTCTTACACTTATCCACGATTCATCAGACTGACAGGTCTATCTGCTTCCTATTATGACCAGTGGTGTATTACAATTTGTTCTTCAGGAACTTACTACCTAAGCAATCAAAACATAAAAGCACAGCTTGCTATACTAATCATGAAATGTTCTATAAAGCCATCAATGAGAAATTTCTGGCTTATAAGTCAACTATCTTCACCTTAAGTAATAGCTACAGAATAATTAGCTACAGAAATGCTGGAAGGGCTGGGAAGGTGGCTCAGTGGTAAAGCGCTTGCCCTGGGTTCGATTCCTCGGCACCACATAAGCAGAAAAAAAAAAAGCCAGAAGCGGTGCTGTGGTTCAAGTGGTAGAGCGCTAGCCTTGAGCTGAAGAGCTGAGGGACAGCGCCCAGGTCCAGAGTTCAGGCCCATGACCGGAACCACCCCCCCCCCCCCCGGCCCCCAAAAAAGAAAGAAATGCTTCCAAAATCAAGTCTAGGACTGCAGTCTCAAATGAATCCTCAGTTAACTGGAATGTCATGTACCACCTGATGGCTGAGTGAAGGACAGCAATTCCATTCTTCTAGTGGAAGCTGGGGAGTGTTGTGCCCACCTGCAATTCCAGCATTTGGGAGTCCCAAGGCAGAGGATCACGAGACCTTGTTTCAAAAAAAAAAAAAAAAAGACAAAAAAAAAAGGGTTCTAGCTGGGCTCTGGTGGCTCACGCCTGTAACCTTAAGTACTCAGGAGGCTGAGATCTGAGAATTGCAGTTCAAAGCCAGCCTGGGTAAGAAAGTCTGTGAGACTCATTTTCAATTAAACCAAGAAAATCGGAAGTGGCAAT